CAAAGAGGAGTGGGACAAAATCCGTCCTGAGATGTGTGCAAACCTGGTGGCCAACTACAAGAAACGTCTGACCACTGTGATTGCCAACAAGGGTTTTGCCACCAAGTACTAAGTCATGTTTTGCAGAAGGGTCAAATACTTATTTCCCTCATTAAAATGCAAATCAATTTATAACATTTTTGACATGCGTTTTTCTGGATTTTGTTGTTATTCTGTCTCTCACTGTTCAAATAAACCTACCATTAAAATTCTAGACTGATCATTTCTTTGTCAGTGGGCAAATGTACAAAATCAGCAGGGGATCAAATACTTTTTTCCCTCACTGTACCTCTGTCAATACAATTATTGTTTTGGAAGAGGGCATGCGAGCAGGCCCTTGATAATGAAGAGGGCATAAATGAGAGCATCCATAAAATATGCTCAGAAGCTTGTGACATAACCCACAGACTCCACATTGATTCTGATCAATCAGTGCTACTCTGCATGAATTGTCTGCCCTGCAACTCGGCTAAACCTGGCTTGCATTTCTTGAAAGGAAATGACACCAATGAAAATTGATAAACAAATTCACCGCGGTGAGCTGGGTTTGCATGCGGCACTGCATGCTGCGGCAGGACAGGAGATGGGGCCACAGGGTGGCCGGGGGAGGGATGTGGGAGGCTCTTATTCTGAAAGGCTGGCAGAATGGGGTTGAGGGATTGGATTTGTAGGATGGATGTGCCCAGGCTGCGGTAGCCTAGGGCACAGAGGAAGCAGCAGTAGGCGGCTCTGTTTCATGCTCATCTCTCCTGGTGCTACCGGTGTTGCCACCGTTATTGTCAAAGCACCATCTCTTCATCAGCGCTTCCACAATGGCGATTGATCATGGTAAGACATTCTTTATTGATCAGTGTGACTGCTGAAACCGGAATTAGTTGTTCTGCGTCTTCCGCCATTAGGACCACATGGGCAAAATATTGTTCGTGTTGGCTCATCAGTTATATTGTGTGGGAATTGGATTGCCCGGAGATTTCTGCACAACAGCCTCGCGCTTGTAATGGGTGAAAACAACTGGAAACCGTCACAGTCCAAATGGTTTGAAATCTGTTATTTGACATTACTGTTATGAAATGCTAAGCTCGGTGATCTGCACAAGGGTATGAATAAGCATTTTATTATATGGTATCTGTTTTTTTACGAGTCTCTTGACAAAATATGTCGGTGTAACGTCGAATCTATCAGTGCAAAAATGCAAGAAAGGGTGAGCAGCATTTTACTTGTTTCAAATGTCAGAATAAAGGAAACTAATACTTTATCATATGTTTTCACTGATAGCAGTCCATAGCAGGATTTTGTAGCTTTAACAAACCATCCACTTAGGGTTTTTACGGCACAATGATGTGTGCAGGGGCCTGTGGAATTATGAATCCTATGAATATTCCCTTCGACTCCTTCCCTCTTGCTGTGATCATCAGGATTTCATCAATGCTCATTTTGCTCAAAATTTTTTTTGCCCATGGTGCTTTAACATGCAATGGGGAGTGCAACTCAATATTGAGCTCATTTTGGCTGCAAAGTTCAGCACATATGACTTGCCCTGTCCCCCCATACCTTCCTTCCTCTACCCCTCCCCCACAATGGCATGCCTCTGTTGGTTGGGGCTCCTTGTTGCCCAGGCGCTGTGAACGCACCGCTGTCGTGGTTCATGTGTGTGCCGCCACTGACATTTCGGTGAAGTCTCTCCTTGGAGCATCAAGGCCGGCCCGGCCATGTTAAATGCCTTTGCGCTCTTGCAGTCAAACGTTAATTACATCCTACACGCGATGTTGGGTTGCACTTCAGGGCCCATGGCCTCAGCCGTCATGGAACGTGAGTTCTAAATCCTCCATCACAATGTCCATCTGCCTTTTGAGTCTTGGATTGCCCCAATGCTTCATCTGTAAGCAGCTTATCTAGATTTACTAGCTGAATAGTGGCTTCTGACTCACATTCACAACGAGGGTTTTAATGTACTTCCCTGCAGTGGCTTTGGAGGTTTTAGCCATATTGGTTCTGGGTTTATTTAATTTTTGTGCTTTTTAATGCGTTTGGTTTTGGCATTTTTAGGTTAAGTAAAATTAGAGACCTTTGTTAAAAGAGATTTTATTGCATGTTGCAGTATTGTATTAAATCGCCTGGAGCTTTTCAGTGCATTACGATTCACATCTGATTTAATGCCCACCGAAATTAAATGGTGGTTTCTTTACGCTACAGTGGAATTGCATTAAACACTTTCCCTCTTCTAACCCCTCCGCCCCAGACAATTGATGTTGTGATTTTGTGTCATGCACCGCTGCTGTTTACATTTCTGATGTCTTAAGTCAAAATATGCCATAGAGTACAGCGTGGCGGCATGTTTGCATGATCGCTGTGGCGGGGACATGACGGCTGGCCGCACTTGACGCTGGCATCACTAAGAGAAGCCAAGCCTGCCGTAGCGTCGCCCACTCTATCCTAAGAGCAGTATGCCCCAGGCGCAGTGATGCATTTCCATCACCCCGTTTTTTTCCGTGTGTGCTTCTTGTGCCTTCAGCAGACGTGCTACAAGTTAGTTTGGTCTATTCCATGTAGTTGATTGAATTCCATTCAGAATCATACCATTCTAAATGGATTTAATACAGAATGGTTTTGTGCTGTTTTGTATGATATTGAATATCTTTGCATTCGGCCAGGGGATTCAGCAGGTAAGCGAGCAGCTCGCAATCAGAAATATGCTAATTAAAATCCTGGTTGGAAATTGACTCAGCCCATCATCCCTCCAGGGTTGATGTAAAATGAGTACCACTTCATGGACAAGTCAGCAGTCATTGTTTTATGGATATACTTATTCCCACCATATGTAATTTATACCACTGACCAGCAAATCACTGTCTTTTTAATCTTCTCTTATGGCATTTAAACACGGAATGATCAATGTATGCTTGTCTTTTTCGTTGTTATACTTCGAATTTTTCACTTAAATAAACATATTTTACATAAACAATGAAAGTAAATTTAAGTTAAACCTTTTGTAAAGTAAATTTTACATTTTTAAGCTAAGTTGACTGTCATTGTCTTTACTTTGAGCTTTAGCTGTAACATTTGGTCGCATTCCACATTAGATGTACTACATAGTGGTTATATAAACACTGGAGTACAATCGTTATGTAAACATGACTTGAATGAAAATGTAGGTAGGAGGAAAAAAAACCCTCTTTGTTGATGCTGGACATATCAGTTCATTACGGGCTTTTCAGTGCCTTTACGGAAATATAAGTTGTCTTCGAACCCTCCGTTTGTCGTCACAATCGATTCCAGTCCAGTTCAGGTCTAATCCGTCGCATTCCTCCATGAGCTAATACTCCTTCATGAAGAATGGCTGATGCCAAGGATGATAGTCACGTGAATCCACTGTATTTCAATGCCCAATCAGGCCTAGTTCCAAAATATTTTCCCAAAACGTATTCCTATTAATAAAGGGGAGCATTATTGATGTACAGTGAGGGAAAAAAAGTATTTGATCCCCTGCTGATTTTGTACGTTTGCCCACTGACAAAGAAATGATCGGTCTATAATTTTGATTGTAGGTTTATTTGAACAGTGAGAGACAGAATAACAACAACAAAATCCAGAAAAAACGCATGTCAGAAATGTTATAAATTGATTTGCATTCTAATGAGGGAAATAAGTATTTTACCCCTCTGCAAAACATAACTTAGTACTTGGTGGCAAAACCCTTATTGGCAATCACAGAGGTCAGACGTTTCTTGTAGTTGGCCACCAGGTTTGCACACATCTCAGGAGGGATTTTGTCCCACTCCTCTTTGCAGATCTTCTCCAAGTCATTAAGGTTTCGAGGCTGACGTTTGGCAACTCGAACCTTCAGCTCCCTCCACAAATTTCTATGGGATTAAGGTCTGGAGACTGGCTAGGCCACTCCAGGACCTTAATGTGCTTCTTCTTGAGCCACTCCTTTGTTGCCTTGACCGTGTGTTTTGGGTCATTGTCATGCTGGAATACCCATCCACGACCCATTTTCAATGCCCTGGCTGAGGGAAGGAGGTCTCGCCCAAGATTTGACGATACATGGCCCCGTCCATCGTCCCTTTGATGCGGTGAAGTTGTCCTGTCTCCTTAGCAGAAAAACACCCCCAAAGCATAATGTTTACACCTCCATGTTTGACGGTGGGGATGGTGTTCTTGGGGTCATAGGCAGCATTCCTTCTCCTCCAAACACGACGAGTTGAGTTGATGCCAAAGAGCTCCATTTTGGTCTCATCTGACCACAACACTTTCACCGAGTTGTCCTCTGAATCATTCAGATGTTCATTGGCAAACTTCAAATGGGCATGTATATGTGCTTTCTTGAGCAGGGGGACCTTGCGGGCGCTGCAGGATTTCAGTCCTTCACAGCGTAGTGTGTTACCAATTGTTTTCTTGGTGACTATGGTCCCAGCTGCCTTGAGATCATTGACAAGGTCCTCCCGTGTAGTTCTGGGCTGATTCCTCACCGTTCTCATGATCATTGCAACTCCACGAGGTGAGATCTTGCATGGAGCCCCAGGCCGAGGGAGATTGACAGTTCTTGTGTTTCTTCCATTTGCGAATAATCGCACCAACTGTTGTCACCTTCTCACCAAGCTGCTTGGCAATGGTCTTGTAGCCCATTCCAGCCTTGTAGGTCTACAATCTTGTCCCTGACATCCTTGGAGAGCTCTTTGGTCTTGGCCATGGTGGAGAGTTTGGAATCTGATTGATTGCTTCTGTGGACAGGTGTATACAGGTCACAAGCTGAGATTAACTCGTTACCTGTATAAAACACACCTGGGAGCCAGAAATCTTTCTGATTGAGAAGGGGTCAAATACTTATTTCCCTCATTAAAATGCAAATCAATTTATAACATTTTTGACATGCGTTTTTCTTGATTTTTTTGTTGTTATTCTGTCTCTCACTGTGCAAATAAACCTACCATTAAAACTATAGACTGATCATTTTTTTGTCAGTGGGCAAACGTACAAAATCAGCAGGGGATCAAATACTTTTTTTCCCTCACTGTATTTGTACATCATTGCTACAGGTTTAAACTATGTTTTGTCATTGTTGAGTACGTCAATAAATCGTGTACATTTTGTATTTTTACCATTCTTGTAATGTGAGGCTCTTTATAGTGTAAGGCTTTCACATAGGTACTGTGATTCACAGGCAGAGTGTATACTCTTTGGTTCTTTCGGTAAAGTCACGTAGGTATAAAATAAAATAAGGCAGAGTGTAGTAGTATCACAGGAGGGTGTGATGCTACTGTGTAATCTCAAATTAGTAACTTGCTGGTGATTTTTCAAAATAGGCAAATATGGACCATGATGCTGGAGCACAAGTGCTTGAAGTTTTATTCTTTAAAGCTTAGCCAATTATATTTTTAAAGAACTCAGAATGGGCTTTATTTCAAGCTATAGCTACTATTCAGTGGCAGATGCAGACAAGGTAATTGCATTTTCATGTATTTGGCACATGTACTAATTTCTAGGGATCCAATGGGCACTTTTCTCTGGAGAGGTGAGTGAGCAGATCATGATCGGTGTGGGGAGGTCGCAGGGGTTGCATTCTCAGATATGTCGGGTAAGTGATACTTGGGACAGATGGGTGATGACTTCATTGCGTCTCCTGGGAGTGGTCACTTTCCACAAACAGATGTCCTAATGCTCGGTAAAGTGCACCATAAACATCGTACCATCTGATGCTCAGATCAATGGCAAGTGTCTTCTAAGTCCATTATCGAGTGTGAATATGAAACTGCAGAATCTGCATGCAGTTAAAGATCTGAATTTTGCATGCGGGGCATGTAATTGATGTTGAACGCGAGTAAAAATGTCGCTCATTTGGTATGTTTACAATGATAAGGCATCAACCCACGAGGTCTTGATGCAAGTTTGATGCGAGGATTTAAACACACTTTGCTTCCGCTACATTTGGTCTCTGTTATCTTTTAAAAACATGATGACCCACTTTGAATAATCTTAGTACAAGTGCTGGGGAGTTTGTGCTGTACGCTTTCCAAGACATTAGAGAAATCCCCTTAACTGGAAATAGGGAAACCAGCATTAAAATAACATCCTTGTCTCTTAGCAGTTATCTCGTACACAATTGGCCTCAGAGACTAAGCAACCCTTTTCCTTCAGTTGAAATATCTCATTTCTAACAACGTCACGGTCCATCTGGCTTGGACTCACTGGTATTTTGAGTGGTTTTGTCTAAGCTCGTCGTTAATGTTGAGACCGTTGTGACTGAGAATTTTGACCAGTTATACCCTGTCGCAAATGTAGTCAGCAGCAAATTTTGTTCTAGCAGGGCCTTGTGCGCATTAAGCAGGGTGTATCTAGACTCAGAAATCCGTTGATGGTTCTTTGTTATTTGCCCTTGAATATATTTTCCAGTAAACAAGTGTGTGTGTGTGTGTCGTGTGGTGAGTGCTGGCTCTGGCCTTGCCAGGCCAGGCTGGTTCAGACATGGTTTCTCCTGGTCAGGGGTTGCCACTCGCTTGTGTACGTCGCTGTATATTATCTACTGACCTTGGGTTTTACTGGGAATCAGAAGTGGGTCAGCATTCGTAGCCTTCGCAGTTTGCAAAGCTTGAGCCCAGCAGTAAGGGTTGCTCTCGAGCAGAACAAGGTATGTGGCTTTCCTGCTCTGCTATACATGGCGCGTACTCAAGCATGAATGTGTTCCTATGTGCTATTTTAAACTTGATTCGTTTAGTTGATACCACTGTGCTCGTAGTCTTTACCAACACCTGCCAAGTGCTGGCAATTGTGTTTAGGTTAAATATATATTGTGTAAGACTAAGTTTAAAAACCAAAACGTTTTTTTTAATAAGATCACCGTTTAGGTTGATTGGCAGTCTTTTTCCAACCCACTTGAGAGGCATGCTTACACATTTAGAAAGCAAAATATTAAGCTTTTGACCACAGTAATTTTTTTACGTGGACTTAACTATTAAAGACAGCCTATCAGTGGCACGAGGACAAAAGTTTACCCGTGGCCTGCCGAGTGATGAGACCAAAAGGAGAACCGTGTCGGATGCTGTGCACAGGCCAACCAAGGATGCGTGGATTTATTTAATGTAGATCAGTTGCAGTCGAATGTGATTAAGAAGCACAGGTGCAATTGTTGAAATGTGCAGACAAAAACGAATGTTGTATTGACAAATGTGTTGTCCTGTTCATAATAGGTATGAAAGGTTGCTGATGCCATATATTACATTTGTAAAATGACTTATAATAGAGCATTATAGTGCAGCACTAATTTATTTCAGTTGATAGTATTAAAACCATTCGTTTATTTTATGAGTATACTTTACATAACTGACTTAATCACATTTTGATTTAAAGCTTTCGTGACTGCAGGGATTCATATTCTTGGTTCTTTCGGTAAAGTCACGTAGAAGGGAAACAATAAGAAGCACAGGTGCAATTGTTGAAATGTGCAGACAAAAGCGAATGTTGTATTGACAAATGTGTTGTCCTGTTCATATGACTTCATCAAGTTATTTGATTAATTTTGTAAATAGCTAATGAAGGTGATGGTGGTAGAAATTGTCGTGCAGTCATATAAAAGCCTTATTGCTCAGGGCATTTGGATAATGCAACAGTGCTCTGCGCTTATGGAAACGGTGATTGGCAGTTGTGCCACCGATCATTGGGCAATAGTGCATATTATGCATCTCTGAAATTTAATATTTTATTTTGAAAATGCCACACTATGGCCCGCGACGCAGGTGTGGGCAGCATTACTATGTGTATTCTTGCGTCGAGATAAATGGAAATCTCAGGCAGCAGCCTCTCGACAATTACAGCGTGACATTTCATCTTGCGACATCGGTGTTGTCCGACGAGTGAAACCGTGTGGTGTGGTGTGTGATGGGTTCGGCATGAATTATTCCGCCTCTTTCTAACTATGAAGCACAAGGGATTGATTGTCGTATTTTTAAGGGCTGCAGAGAACTGTGCCTAGCAGTAATTAAATTACGTCACTCTCAATCAGGCCCATTAATGAGCTCAGCTCTTGGAAGTTCTTTCTTGGCCAGGCAACCTCTAATTAAAGATATTGTGTGTGGTTTAGCATTATAGTGTGCATAATGGAGCTTGTTTCAGGACGTGAATTCATTATAACATTTTGGTCATACTGAATTTATTTTATAAATTGCTGCACCTGATCTTGATCATATGAAATCGTTTTATCTCTTAAACTGTAACTGATAGAGAAATTACATTTGGTAAATTAAACAGTGCTCATCCTTTATATGTTTATGTAGTCTTGGACATTAAAGTGCTAATAGAGCATCACCATTGCATTTTCTCATCATGAGAGTGAGTCTGGAACTACAGTCACTTGAGATTCTTAAGAACCCTAATTGCCGCTGATTGCTTTTATTGAAATGAGCAATTGGATTACCCTGGCTGGTCCAAAGTTCCCCGAGTGCATGCCATCCTCGGTTCGTGGCAGCTTTATTGTCATTTGGGTCGAGGCATGGGGAGACGTATTCGATGGCTAAGATGATAATAGCTTTGTCGGCCTTGAATAGCAAAGGCCTGACGCGCACCCCAAGCGGATGACATCATCGGCTCGAGGCGAGAAAGCAACCAATTTCAGGGCGAGCAGCAGGGTTCGCAGTTGCCTCGGCAACGCGGGGATGAATTCCTCTTCGGCAGGAAAAAAAAGAGCTGCGTTGGTCAGCCGTGCGCGTACGCGTGTGCAGTACGCATCCCCGCCGTCCGTGTCAGGGGGGGTCACTGTAAGCCAAACAATGGACGAGTGAGTGCACGCTTGTGTTGAGTGCAAAATTGCTCGCTCATAGCGAGAGACGGTCGTTGGGCGCCATCGACGCTTTGAGTGAGGCATGAGCAGCAGCCGGGCCGTGGGCGTCTGCATGAAAAATGCGAAGGTCCATCTGCGAAAGGCTCTGCTTCCGTGAGTTTGGACCGCACGCGCTGGGTGCACGTTCATCGCGACGTCAAGTGTTTTTTTGTGGGCGGTGTTAATGCACCGGGTTATAACTGTGAAGTGTAAATTTTTTTGACATCTTCGATGCTATCTGGTGATGGCTCACGCTTTCTGCATGGAGCGTTAATTTCAGGGCTTGAAAGCGAGCGGCAGTGAGTGACCGCTATGCTCCTGAGACTGAATGCAGTGTGTTGATGACATGCCCGCTGCCTTTTACCTGCAGGCCTGGAAAAGCAGCGTTGCCGTAGCAGCTGTATTGTTTTAGCGTAATGGCACATGCACACGCCCTGATGCCAGCACTTAACTATCCTGATGTTCAAATGCATATCATAAAAAAATATTTAATGAAGAATATGTTTTATTTTACATGTCTTTAACGTAGCTTTAATAGGGAAACAATTCTGATAACCAGCACTTTCCAATGTGACTTTCATTGATTATCAGTTCAATAGGGGTGTACAGTTACCTTCCCTTCAATTAAGTATTAACCGCTGAGCAACACATATTGAATTAATCCAAGGACATGTCTTTGATCATATCAAAATTCACTGACTTAAGTCTTTGGATGCAGTTTCCTTTTCATTGTGTTAATTTCTTTGCAGCTTTGTATTATGTGTGAATGATGTGACATTGCTGCCTGTGTATACACTTGGGCTTTCAATTCGTTGTGGATGAATCCAAGTGTGTTCTCTCAAACATTTACTGGACATTAAATTTGTGTCTGAAATTCGTCATGGTCTTTTAAGTGCATTTTTCTGGTTTGATAAACTGTAGCTTGACTTGTGTTTGTAATACAGTGATACTGTATGATGGACCTCAGTGTTGGTATGTCGTTTTTTTTATAATGTTTATGAAAATATGGGTTGATTTACATATTTTGATTAAATATTTTAATTGTTCACTGGTTGCCTTTAACCTGCGGTTACAAATAACTGTGATAACATGTAACAGTAAGCATTGTGTAGGTATAAATAAGCAAACGACGTACCTTATCCTGTTACAAAACAAAAGGTCATTTTATATCGACACCGTACGGCGATGGCAGTTTTAATGTCCTATATTTAAAACGTTGAACTAAACTGAGCTTTGGCAGCATACACTGGAGGTAGAGCCAGCGTGTTCATTGCCAGTGAACGAAGCCTTGGTACATTCGTGCGCGCGTGCAGAGAAGGGATTTGAAGAGGACGACTGCCTCGATGGCAACAAGCCGAGCTCGGCCCAGGCGCAGACCTCATTCCGTGTGCCCACGGCGAAGAGGGTCCCAACAAACACGGCCGGCGCCAGTGCCAGCGCGGCCCCGTCCCGGCGACCCACGCTGCCCACCGCTGTGGTCCGGCCCACCTCTGCTGGTAGGTGCCTGCCTCACTCACACCTACGGGGGCCTGCAGCACCGCGTGTGGCCCTGCCGCTCCTCGCATTAGGGTTGCGCCTCCTCACTCGATTCTACGGACTGAGTCGTCGATTGCTCTCGTCCTCAAGAAATTAAGTCCTGGACGTAAATTGGCGTAGGATTATAAGGCTAATGAATGCTGTACAATGTCAATTAAATTATTACAGTGCTCTTAATGGTTTGTTGATGAGTTGGAAGGCAGTTGATTGGTGCCCGCTTTCTCTGGGGAACGGTGCATAAACGTTACTCCTGTGCACCGTATCTTCTCCATGACCTAAAAATATGCCTGGAGACAACTCTTCACTTCGCACCTCGCCAAGCGCCTGCCCTTGGTGGTCCACCCACCTGGTGAACAGCCACACACATGCGCGTGACCTGTGTGAGGGCATGGACTGCCAGATCGGTTCACTGGAGGAAAGAGAAAGGTCATCCCTCAGGGCCATTGTATATTTCATTCGTGAGAGGGTTGCCTCATTATAATGACTTGCATGGTTGCTTTCACACAGCTTCATGTAATCCTTTATTTGGTACACTGGGTATATTATTAAGATATTTTTTTAACTTGTACATAAAATGCTTGTGCGCGTGTACATCATATGCCGGCTTTCCACTCGATAAAAAAAACTATATTTTACAATGACGATAATACTTGATGCATTATTTTCCTGGAATTGCACACATTGCCATGGAATGCCACTCATGCAGATTAATCTAGGTTTTCTATCTCATTATCTTCAGCCTTTCTCAGCTGCATGTGCTTGAATATTAATAACCAGGAAAATGTTCTCTTGGTGTGAAATTTGCATTCAAATGACAGGGACATTAGTGCTTGGTGATTATTTTCTCTTTGCATTGACAAATGCTGCTGCTAATGTAATTTGCTGCACTGCTCACAAAGGTTTGTTGATGTCTGCAGTGTTATACCAATTAACATCTAATTAATGTTGTCTTTTTTTTTCCCTCCAAAAGCCACAGCCGGAGCCGGCGCTGTGGACGAGGAAGATTTTACTCGATGCATCGAGGATGTCACTCCTGCGCAGGTCAGAGTTTACCCCCCAGCCACCACTAATTAATGAGCTCTTGTCATTCCTGCAGACGGTTCTTGTTTGCCAACTGTTTATGAGAAAGAGCTAATCAACATTGTTGAGGTGTTTTGCCTTTGCCAGATGCGGTAACAGATATGCCACTCGCCATAATGGTAATTCACCCGGGGCTGTTGTTTCTTTTTTTCAGATTTTCTCGACCCGAGACCTAGAGGAAAGCCTAGCCAAGGTCCGGGAGGTCTTGGCAGATGACAAGCATGATTGGGAGCAGCGTGTCACCGCTGTGAGTTGTGAATCAAGAACACAATGGAAATGTATTTATTAAGTAAATGGTTTCCTACGTTTTTACAAGATTTGTCATAGAAAAATATCTATACCTCTTTTTGTAGCATGCATTTCTTTTTGTGTTTGTGAATGCGTTTCCTTATGTATTTTAATATAATCTGCTCCTTACCCGAAAATTGCATCGGGGACTTTAGACAAAAGCAATTGGGGCTTGATCCTGCACACACCAGACCTGTGTAAAGTTTGACCACGAACAAACCAGTCCTTCACATCCTTTTTGTCAATATTCATTGTGTGTGTTTAATACAGCTCAAGAAGCTGCGATCACTGGTGATTGCCGGTGCCACGGAATACGACTGCTTCTTTCAGCACCTCCGTCTGCTGGACGCCGCCTTGAAGCTGTCAGCCAAGGATTTGCGGTCCCAGGTTGTGCGGGAGGCCTGCATCACGCTTAGGTAGGTGCTGTGACTCCTGCGATCACCCTGTCGAGTGAGTACCGCTCACACAAAAGCTCTTGCTTTGACAATAGTCCTAGGCACAGTGACGATTGCTGACACTGTGTCTCCGTTACCCCAATTAGCCATCTGGCCTTGGTGCTGAAGAACAAGTTTGACCATACGGCAGAAAGCACCCTTCCTACACTCTTAAACCTGGTTGCCAACAGTGCCAAGATCATGGCCACATCCGGAGTAGTCGCCATCCGCATCATCATCCGGGTGAGCGATTGAGCGTTGGTGCTGCATGGATGGCATTACTACATGTTTTAGTATGCTCCGTTCTGTCGTTTGGCGAGCAAGTGCCACGTATCTGGATGTGCTGGTTCCATCGGATGCACACACCTGGAGCTCACTGTGTCTTTTAATGGCTTGCTTGCTCCTGGATGGAATGTGTTGTAAAAATATTAGTTTTTTATGTTTGCATTGCAATTGGTCGTGTATTACGTGAGCTGTAGCTGGAGTAAATTATGCCGTGTGAAAAGCTGTTGGTGTTTTGTATGTATGTTGAACTTTAGCAAACCAAGCTAATCGGAGGTGGTTATGGATTCACAGCTGTGCAGGCTGTACAAACCCGAATGCTACACCTCGCTTGCAGAGTCACCAGTCTTGTGATTTGATGCTTTTTTAAGAACTTGTTTTCCTTTGCAGAATACACATGCGCCGCGTCTAATTCCACTCCTTACAAACAACTGCACGTCGAAATCTGTTGCAGTACGAAGGTATGTTCTTTGCAACTGTAGAGGTATAAAGACTATAGAGAGTTTATCATCTATATGACAGAGCTGCACCTACAACTGCAGAGCTCGCATCAGTCACTAGGAGCAGTAGCAGTTAACCATTTGCTGCAGTACTTTACACTGAGTTTTTCTGTGCCTCTTCAAGTGGCAGTCAATAAGTCTGGGTGTGTGGAGAGTCATAGGGTCATGGTTCATCCACTTTGCTATATTGCTGATGATCACTATTTAATTAGTAGCCATGCACACACTAGTAGTAATTAATATCCGAACTTCGCTTGGACCCCTCCTAACTTGACTCGACCGTTAATTAGTACTCAATGCAGTGTGTGAACATCGGCACCGTGGCTAGTCATACTTCCTCCCATACTCGTCCCTCCTGTGCCATGCAGCTTTAATGGGTGCTCATGAACAGCCAATTACTGGCCTTATAGTCTATGAGGCTTAATGAGTGTTTCTCTTTGTGTGTCTGTAGACGCTGCTTCGAGTTCTTGGATTTGATGTTACACGAGTGGCAGCAGAACACCTTGGAGAAGTAAGCATTGACACAGGCTGGGTGGCACATGCCCCGCTATATTAACAGTAACGTGAAAACCGTTCGTAATTAATACTTTCTTCATTGTCATATCTGTTATACTTTATTCTGGTTAAAACACATACTCTATAATATAAAGAATAAATATCTCCTGAAAGTTATTTTACACTGGTTTAATCTTTTCATTTTGAATTTCCCCAGGCAGACGGTAGTGGTAGGGGATAGTCTTTTACATCTATGATATGTAGGCCTCGGCAAGGTAAGGTAATTTACCCTTTTTACTGGGTTAAAGGGTTAAGGTAAAGGGTAAAGGGGTCGACATGCAAAGGGGTAAGGTAAAGGGTAGGGTATAGGTAGGCTTGTTTTTACCTTTTACCTTACCTTGCCGAGGCCTAATGATATGTATGCATTACATTGGTTGTAGTGTCAAAATAATGTGAGGTATCTTAACAGTGGCGTGTTAAACATGACCGCTTTGATTCAGTCGAATCTGGCTCTGCTGATGACACTGTTAAAACTGGTCCAGAGTTTGCTTATATTTAACCAATGCTGCTGAAGTTATACACTCACAGGAGGCGCCGTGGCTGATGGCATGTGTACAAAATATGTGGAGGGGCAGATATGTGAAGGAGACGTTTTGTCTACTTATTTATTTGTTCTTTATTAGTGGTTCTACAGTAGAACCTAAACAATTTATACTGCCAGTGATCCCAGTTATTTATTTTTCCTAAGTCCACACAAGTTCTTTATGTTGTGTGAAAATGGCCATTGCATAGCATCTGTTGGTGTTTAACCACTACGTAGGTGCTTCTATTGATATCACTTACAACAAGACATTGTAAAACCAGTGGCTGATAATATTTGCCTAGCTCGGATAAAATGCAGAAGTTAATGTAGGAATCCTACCCCATATTCACTTGGCACGAACTACTTATTCACTGATTACACTGCCATTAAGTAAATGATTTGTGGATGGTGCTTTTGACGCCTTAACGTGCTCGGTGTTTTTTACAGACATATCGGCTTGTTAGTGGATACGATCAAGAAGGGAATCCACGATGCCGACTCAGATGCTCGTATGGAAGCAAGAAAGTGAGTGCATTAATGTATTCCCTGCAAATCAACATTGGATTGTGGTATAAACGTTTACCTTATTCCATTTTAATGGCAAATAAATAAAGTCATTGTGCATTTATTACATTCATTTTACTAAAAAGTATATTTAATTATATTATATTGCATTTCTTACTTCGGAAAAAGTCTACAAATTGTCATCGTCAGCCATATAGCGTGTTTATCTTAAACGCACGTGTGTTCATTGCTGACATCTCCCTTCCTTCCTTGCCTCCTCCCCTCCCTTGTTATCTCCACCCATGGTTACATTTATTTCTCTCTCTCTTTTCTCCATCCCATAACTCCCGCAGAGCATACTGGGGCTTGCGAGGCAATTTCCCGGCCGAGGCAGAGGCCCTGTTCGCAGCTCTGGAGCCCAGTTACCAGAAAGCCCTTCAGAGCCAGCTTCGAGGCTCCTCCAGCGTGGGCTCTCTGCCACGCTCAGACCACTCCACCTCGTCTTCCCAGGAGAGCCTCAAGTAAACACACCCAGCCGGCCATGCCACACGTGTGCAATCTGTACGCACTCTCTGTCATGGGTCTCACATGCGAGTGTGCCGGTCCTTGAGCACGCACCTGCATGCCACTTAGTTGGCATCCCACAGCACTGACGTGGTACTACAGCAGAGTGTTCACAAAGTAAACCGGTAGTTAATGCCTTCTGCTTGTTCGTGGAGTTGGGCGACCCCTGGAATGCAGTGCAGAGTATTGCAAAATATTGATGGTGGTGTTAAATGTGTGTAAAAAAAAAAAATCAATGATTCCTGCTTGTAAATGTCAAAATGTGATTGTCTTGCAGTAGGCCAGCATCTGCCAAACGCCCATTGAGCAGCCCCTCGGCAAACGCTACAGGCAGAGGTAATGTGTCACACACTGACTTTTGAATGTTTTACATACGACTGAAGGAAGCATTTTTTTATAATCATGAGGATATAGTTTTATATGTAGATTTATATTTCTGAAGAGTCAGGTTCAATGTGTATTAGAAACATTTTTAAGGCTCTAGGAAAAAGTGTTATGAAGTGAAACCACCTGTCCATTTCTTGTGTCAAGCCAATGTTTTCATGAGGATGGCCATTATAAAATATATTTTACAGCCCTTTGCCATTTCAGTGCTGGATAAAGGTCTCCCCGTGCCTTGTTGGTTTTGAGGATTTTTTGGTCATACTTTATCATTCAGGTTAGGGAGCTGTGAACTCAAGTGAATATGCAGTGGAGTACTATCCACTGCACCACCGCTCCACCCCATCCCTTTGCTTCACCCCTTTTTTTAATTACATTGGGTTACATTTCTTGGAATCCATTAACACAGCTTGTTAAAAGCAACAACACTGCTTTCATATGCACAGCAGTGACCACCATTTGATACATTCAAAATTGCCAGCAAGTTCTGTGGATACTTAACGAGTCTACCTTTCCTGCACTTGCTGCTGCTGTGCGTGGTACTGCAGTCTGCAGTAGTGCGTGATTAACGTTCTGTGATGTGGCATAGCCACGCTCGCTGTGTGTACAGTGTCTGGCTCCTCCAAGTCTTTGACGGGGGTCCCGGCTACTGCCTCACTGACTCGCTCCCGCAGCGACATCGACGTCAACGCGGCTGCCAGCGCAAAGTCACGCGCCACTCCCCCCTCCTCCTCGGCCGCGCCACCCGGCCTGGCCTCCCGCAGCGCCGCACAGCCCAGATTTGGTGCGGCAGCCGCCCTACCACCGGGATCCTACGCCTCACTCGGTACATCTCGCAAAAGCCCTTACAGGCACACTGCTGAATTCGTTTTGTTGTGTGAACCTGGCGGACAGCTTTGCAATCGGGAAGTTTAGAGGAAAAAGGAGGGGGCGACACTTGAAGCCCCCTGAAGCCTGTTCAAAGTAGCGATCACACTGCGCTGTTGGTGACTTATTCGCAGCTTTCACGGAGTGACGCCAAGTTTGTATTAGTGTCTATTCGTTATCTGCTGCTGGGGTGGAAGTCCTTGCCCTGGACTGAGTCCAGAGGCCAGCAGCAGTGCCTGGTTAATCCAATAAACAAAATTATAAACCCTCTGATAACTTTTTGAACAACACTTATTGTGTAAATGTTTTAATTTTGATTCTGAAATATTTGTAAACAATTTTTTTTCATGGAGAGCATTTCCACCGCATGCACTAAAACAGGCTTTATTTCTCACCATTAACACTAAAGATCACAAGGTATTGAACTCTCATACATTAATGTTTACAAAATGAGAGAATACTTTCTTGACTTGAAGCTTTCGTGACTGCAGGAATACATATTCTATGGGTCTTTCGGTAAAGCCACGTAGATAGAAAAAGAATAAAAATATCACGACGTTTCTCACCTGATGACGATTGCTTGTGTTGCGATTGAAACGTCGTGATATTTTTATTATTTTTCTATCTACGTGGCTTTACCGAAAGACCCATAGAATAGAATACTTTCTTTACATTTCCAGTATCCCTGACAAAATGAGAGATTACTTTCTTAAGAATTCTAGTAGCCCAACTCAGATTGGCTGGCTCCCTGCTCTCTGGTCTGTAAATTAACACCATCTCCTTGCCCTTTGCCTGCTCCCATAGCAAACGGCACACCAGACAATCCTGGGGGTAAGCTGTAAATGAATAGTTGTTCTTTGCCCTGGTGCTGTATTGGTCATGTAATGTTTGTGGCCCTTGCTTTTTATGAAGTATAGTCAACCATTTCCATCCATTGTGTCTCTATTGGCATTTATTCATTCTCTTATCCTCTCAATATTGCATGCCAGCATTACCATGTCATTTTCATGGTTGTTTTGGGAAATTTGGTGGCGGGGGGAGGGGGGGAACCAGGTTGGTTTATACTGTTGACATTTTTTTGGGCAAACCTATCGTTTTAAAGGTGTTGCCACATTTAGAGGCACAATTTTGATGCAAAATATTATTTTGGCTTTGATATGTATTGATGTACATCTGTGTTTTTTGTGGAAGGTTGACCACACGTCGTGTGCCTCTAATCACCACTAAGTCCGCGTTTGTGATGTGCAGCATGCGGTCAGCGTCATGACGTGCCCGTTACTGTTTTATTCCCAGACGTAGCCTACGCTGACTATGCGTACGGTAAGGATAGAACAGGAGGCTGCTTTGGTGTTGCTGAGTTGCTGGAGGGTAGGCTGTGCATGGATCCCCAGTGCAGGGTTAAGCACGAGCTACTCCCTTGAGAATCGATCACGCATTGCAGAGAGGGCCTGCCAGGCTCCCCAGCCTTTTTTAGTTGCTCCACATGGAGGCGACAACCATTGCCAGTATGCACCACTTGCCAGTGGTAACTTTGCACATGGGCAGCTGCTCGTGCCTATCCCCTTGGAAACAGTTGGTGTTGGTGCTTGGTTGCCATGTGCCTGGTTCTGTTGGGGGTTGCTTTTGAGGGATTTTTCTAAGACTTAACTTTTTTCTGCCATTCTATATAAATATCTAAAAAAAAAATTGCCACAAGGGCATTCCATTTCTCTTAGCATTTTTATCTTTGGAAGCGGTCATTCTTTTGCGAAGCGTTGTGGCATCACGATGCTTGTCTATTAAGTGTGTTAAGCGGTTTTCCTTCCGCAGCCCTAAATTTTTGGAAGACAAAAAAACCAGACGCAGCTTTGCTGTGTTTCGCACTTGAACATGTGAGCGTTCTTTGTGCTTTCTGATCGCGTCTCACTGTGTGTCTCGTGGCGCGCACGGCAGGACGCGTGCGCTCGCGCCGCCCCAGCGCAGGCAGCGCCCACAGCGCCCACAGCGCCACGGCCTCGTCGCCCGCCGACTCCCGCGGCCGCACGCGCACCAAGATCTCGCAATCGCAGCGTGAGTGACGCGGCTTCCACCTACCGCCGGGCCCCTCGGCTGCGACCCACCCCGCCTGTTTGTTGCGTTCGTTTGTGCGTGCGTTTACGCCTGACAGACTGATGGTGGCCTTTTATCTGACTGACTTTCCCTGCTGCTTGTGGTGTAAAATATAACATTCGAATCCGTGGAATTTATATGAATTCTTCTTGCAAAGCATGTGTTTGTTGGTGATAGCCTGCGAACCTACGTGAAGTCTTTTTTTTTTTTCTCTTGGAAAAGTTTATCGAAATGTTTTTTAAAGAAAACTAACAAACACATAGCCCTGCAGGGCACCTGCCCCGCCGTAGCAGTCCGAACTGTGGTAACCGTGTCTGCACTAAACCGCAGTGATTCTGAGACTGCATGGTGTTTGCACAGTGTCTGCCGCTAACTGTATGTTCCTATCCCTTTGACATGCTCCCCCCCCCGCCCCCCAACCTGATTGCGCTCTCAGGATCCAAATCCGCCAATCCTGGTGGTGGTAAGAGAAATTTGAACATTTGGTCACAATCCCACTCGACAAGTCATCCCTTCTGCCAAAATCATATTTGCTTAGTCGCCCCATATAATCTAAAATGAGTTCCACAGAACTTGAAGCAATAACAACTGCCTCAAAAAATGTCATATGCTTATCATGACCCTCTTGTGAGTCACAGGCTGTTCAAGTTGTACTTAAATCTGGATACAGGGGGCGCTCAGTGCACATCACTTTCCATTCCTATTGGACGCTCCATTCCTTGCCAGCATGTCCTGCGGAGAGATGATGGCGGCTGTCTCCTTCCATTCTTCTTCAACGTTGCAGTGGGATCTTTGCTTACAGCATGATGATGCCACGCATTATTTTCACCTCAATTTGTAACATAGAAATTGTTTCTACAAATTATGGATTTTTATACACCAAAGATTATTGTCACACAGCAGAATGGTAGTTATTTAATTACAGTAGACGCTCTATTATCCTCGTGCGGTTTATCCAATTTGTGGATTAACCGCGCACCTGAGATTTTCACGTAAATTAATAACTCATGGATTTTCCCTTAAACCCAAATTAATGATTTAAAAACTGTTATACATTGTTTTTCTTGGAAATGTTTATTACAAGTCACGTGTTTAAACCGAGCAAATATGTGCTCCAGTTATTCCGAAATCCACATGATCACCTTCATGGTGCATAGCTTGCATATCTTTACAACAGTGGGCGGAGTTTGATGTTGATTGGCGTGGCTCAGCTTTCCACTTGGTGGGTGTAGTCTTCTGCACGGAAGCAGGAAAGTGTTTTCACTGAGGCAGCGCATCGATCGATTCTTTACTACAAATTATTGTTCATTAACATACTAAACATTTTTAACTGAAACTTAATTTATAACGATATTAGTGTTTTTTGGTATAGAGATCCATGAAAAATGGTTATTTTTTTAGTTATCCACGATTTTTAATTAATCGCGGCCATCCTCCCTGTTATCCGTGTGGATAATCGAGAGTCTACTGTATCTGTAAATCTGAATTTGTTTATATAATTAAAAACCTCTGAATTAATCACCTCCGAAGGTTTGATTGTGATCATCGGCTAAAATGTTTAATCTCAAATGGCCCTTGCCTATAGTACTTGGAAATTGTAAAGTGGAGTTAGAATCTTCTTGTGTAAAATTTTGCACGCAGGGTGTTTATCTTCATCATGGTTGCTGAGCAAAGGCCCAAAGGTCCAAAACACCACGAGGCCAGGAACAAACAACACGATTGATAGTGTAAATATAAGAGTTAATGTTTGTCTTACGTTATGCTATTAGAGGGTTGCAGTCATGTTTGTGTTTATGTGCATTTCTGCTTGCTCGGGGTTGTATGCGCACGTAGCGGGCAGTAGGTCGGGTTCCCCAGGCAAGATGCTGAGTGTGGCGCCGGGCTCCAGTCTATCGGGCGTGGTGCAGCGCGTCCCTCTACCGGCCGCCACGTCTTCACCGGCCAAGCACAGCCGCATCCCACGCAGCCAGGGCTGCAGCCGCGAAACGAGCCCCAGCCGTCTGTCACTGGGTATGCACTCGGGCACACACGTGCGCGCAACGCACGGCCGCTTTGTCTGCCGAGCCTCCCTCTGACTTCCGAATAAATCGTGGATGTTTAAATTGGTGTTGTCAGTTGTGCAAAGCAGTGCTTATTTAAACAAGCTCCAGCTGTGTAGTTCAACACAGCTGCTTTTAAAGTGTATTTCTTGTCTCTCACTATTTGTCTTTCCATCTCATTTTATATGGCGTATAGAAAAAGACTTAAGGATTTAGCTTTCGGTTTTCACCTGTAGAATATATATATATCTCATTTCTGTTCATTTTTGCATCCGTGTTGTTTATTATGGCTCTACTTTATCTTCCTCTTACGGATCACACGTGAAAGTGTCTTAAACCTTTGCTGAGAAACGTCCTTGGAGGGGGGGGGGATAGAAACCTCACTGCTTTCAACACTCACGGCAACGATGTTGAGCATCATGATGTTCAATTCCACAGGCTCAAAAAATTGTAGCAAGAACAATGACCTTCACCGTGTCTCATCATCTCTCTGTCAGTCCCAAAGTGAGAAGATAACAATATTATTCACTCAGGTAATATCAAAAACGTTACCTTGCAGTCACCATGAAGCAAGAAATCGCTTCGCTTTATTTAGCAAGTCACTCAAGCACATTTTCCAATTCAAAGTTGAGGCTAAAATTACATTATGTTAATCTTTAATACATCAAATGGCATGTCACATGTGTGCACTCCACTGGCATTTTTTTCTGTTATCCGTGAGGTGACATCGTGTTTCATGCTCTACTTGCCTTCGTCCTAATTAAATTTTAATTCTCAAAGTGAAACATTTTTTATTTAAAGCTTTCGTGACTGCAATAATTCATATTCTTAGTTCTTTTCGGTAAAGTCACGTTGAAGGGAAACAACAAAATAATAAAATATATATAAAACAATAAAAATTCTCACGACGTTTCGACCATAACACAAACGGTCGTCTTCAGGTGTGTTGGTTTGCATAAATTTATTTTTAAAGGCGCATTTATTTATTTATAAAAAACGTTAGCGCCACACGCAGCGATTTGGCAGTTTATTTAGGACTAGTCCATCTATATTCTGAAAAGAGGAGGGGGGAGACGATTTTTTAATATATATAATGTATGCTGTCTGAAAGCCACTGTAAGCGTGAACAATCAATTAAGACCTGAAATGGTTTATCAAATCTTTCCAATGATTGCTAAGATAGAATCCATCTTCTCGGTTGAAATTGACTCTGTGCTTGTATATGTGGATAGCCTCATGAACGAATCTCTCATGGTAGCCAGATGGCTTACAAAGAACCTCTGTCTTGGAAAAGTCAATGGCATGTGAGCCTACTAAATTATAACAATGATCTGCCACGGCCGAGCTGTTGGTCCTACCGTGTTTTAGGTCTGCTTTGTATTCACGAATGCGGTCCGAGATATGTCGCTTGGTTTCTCCAATGTAACTACTACCACAGAGGCAACTTAGTTTGTAGACACCAGAGTACTGTATGTCCGGAATCACATCTTTTACAGACGGAACCAGATCACGGATTTTATGTAATGTGTTGAATCGGACCTGGATCTTGTGTTTATTCAAGATTTTGGAGATCTTTTTTGTGATCCCCGCAATGTAGGGTAAAGTGATGGTTTTGAAAGGCTCCTCAAGAGGGTTCTTCATGGTTGGAGTGATAGCTTTGCGGATTGTGTAGTCGGAGTAACCATTAGCCTTAAGAGCTTGGTGTACGTGCTTGAGTTCACTGCCTATGTGTTCCTGGTCGGATATGCATTGGGCTGTATGGTGCAGAGTCTTGATGAGGGAATTCTTCTGGGATGGATGGTGGTGGGAATCCGGTTTCAGGTAAGCATCCGTATGGGTATCTTTCCTGTAGACAGTAGCTCATTGAACCATCAGGTCTCTTTTTATTAGGACATCCAAAAAAAGTAGCTTGCCATCTTTTTTGACTTCCATGGTAAATCTGATGGCTGGGTGTATGGAATTGATGTGGTCGAATAATTGGTCTAGAACAGGCCGGCCATGTGGCCAGATGACAAAAGTGTCATCCACGTACCTCTTCCATAAGGTTGGGCGTAGAGTGGCAATCTGGATGGCGTCAGTCTCAAATTTATCCATGAAAATGTTGGCTACAACCGGAGATAGGGGATGGCCCATTGGGGTGCCCTCAGTTTGTTTGTAGAAAGTTCCATTCCAAGTGAAGTATGTATTGGTTAAGCAGTGTCTCACCAGGGGGGGTACCTCAATGCATATCTGACCAGGAACACATAGCCAGTGAACTCAAGCACATACACCAAGCTCTTAAGGCTAATGGTTACTCCGACTACACAATCCACAAAGCTATCACTCCAACCATGAAGAAGGACCCTCTTGAGGAGCCTTTCAAAACCATCACTTTACCCTACATTGCAGGGATCACAAAAACGATCTCCAAAATCTTGAATAAACACAAGATCCAGGTCCGATTCAACACATTACATAAAATCCGTGATCTGGTTCCGTCTGTAAAAGATGTGATTCCGGACATACAGTACCCTGGCGTCTACAAACTAAGTTGCCTCTGTGGTAGTAGTTACATTGGAGAAACCAAACGCCATATCTCGGACCGCATTCGTGAACATAAAGCAGACCTTAAACACGGTAGGACCAACACCTCGGCCGTAGCAGATCATTGTTCTAATTCAGTAGGCTCACATGCCATTGACTTTTCCAAGACGGAGGTTCTTTGTAAGCCATCTGGCTTCCATGAGAGATTCGTTCATGAGGCTATCCACATATACAAACACAGAGACAATTTCAACCGAGAAGATGGATTCTAGCTTAGCAATCATTGGAAAGATTTGATAAATCATTTCAGTTCTTGATTGATTGTTCACGCTTACAGTGGCTTTCAGACAGCATACATAAAAACAAATTTCGTCTCCCCCCTCCTCTTTTCAAAAAATAGATGGACTAGTCCTGGCAAACAGCCAATCGTTGCGCGTGACGCAAACGTTATTTTTATATAAATAAATAAATAAATATGCCGTTTTCAAAATAAATTTATGCAAACCGACACACCTGATGATGACCGTTTGAGTTATGGTCGAAACGTCGTGATAATTTTTTATTGTTTTATATATATTTTGTTATTTTGTTGTTTCTCTTCAACGTGACTTTACCGAAAAAACTAAGAATATGAATTACTGCAGTCACGAAAGCTTTAAATCAAAATAGATGGACTCGTCCATCTGAACAAACTGTCAAATCGCTCTCTGTGGTGCTAACGTTAAAAATAACCGCCACTTTTTTTCAAATTTTCTTGCTGTGGTTTTCACACCTGATGATGATTGCTTGTGTTGCAGTCGAAACGTTGTGATAATTTTATTATTTTATATTTTTATTATTTTATTGTTTCCCTTCTACGTGACTTTACTGAAAGAATCAAGAATATGTTTACTATTTGCTCACTGCAATTTAACCTCCCGTCAATTTTAACTCATCGTTGACAATTGAGGGAGAAGTTTCTCAGTTATAATATGTAACATTCTACATAAAAAGTACACATTAACATATGAGATTGTTTATTTGTCTTCATTTATGTTGTGAGGTGTTATTAATGCCATTCTTCGCGATTAATTAGCAGGTCACCTGTTTAAAACCGTCAGTCTGATTTTTCCTTCCTTGCCAAGTTGCAACTCAAGGCACCACAGACCTATCCCAGTAGCTAAAGGATTAGGGACATCCACTTATGTGTGCCTGCTGCCCCACCCGCACATCCTCCTCCTGCTCGCGTGCGGCCTATCTCCCCCCCCCCGCCGGCCTCCTCATGCGCCCGTCACTAGCAAGGAGTGGCAGCAGCAGAATCCCCCGGCCTAGCGTCAGTCAGGGCTGCAGCCGGGACAACAGCAGGGACACGAGTCCGGTGCGGGGCTTCCCTTCCCTTGGTGAGACGCAGTAATAGCATGACCGCTGCGTGCCCGACGGCGCTTTCCCGCACGTGGCCTTTGCGAATGCTGCACGCAAATGCCCACGTATGCCTAGATTCTATTTCTGCTGGATCATTTTGCAGTTATTCCTTTTTTTAAATGTGTCAAGCTTACTACTGCAATTGCTTTAGTGGAACTTCACTTTGCTCAGAGGTAGAACACCTTTACTGTACTGTTACGGTTTAATTTAATAATTTGTATTGAGCTTTGCTTTGCAAACTTTCCCCGCTATTATTTCCAAAGGCTGCCTACATTTTTTCAGTACATGCTCATTTTTGGCTGAAGATCCCAAGCCCTGGAATTCTCCTTCTGCCTCTCAGACCCTGGGGTCCCTGGGCTTGCTGTTGTGCTGTGGGGTCAATTGATAAGGTCTTGGCTTGGGAAGCTATTGTTATCCAGCTGTACGTGCAATGGAGCAAAGCTGCGTCTGTGGTCATCTAGTTATGTCTTATATGTTGTCTTGTGTTTGTTCTCATGTATTTCTCATTTACCGTACATGTTGATCGCAACAGAGGTGGTGTACCATGCTGCTTTCAGATGAAAAACCCATAAGGTCGGCCAGTTGCTCACAATATTATCAAGTAAAATCATGCTTGGAAGATCCTTCAATGATTCTTGATTGAGCTATACTCTTCCGATAGTCGCAACATGTAGTACTACATGTCGTGACTTTGACTTTACCACAATCAATAAATCTACTTGAAGATCTGTAGAAAAAAAATCTGAAAGCTCATGCAGAATCATATAATCAATAATTATGAGTTATTGGTCTATGGATAGAGAATATAACTTCATAATAAACCTAATATAATACCATGCTTATAAGCTTAAGTATCGAAAATAAAAGTGACCAATGAAATTCAAATTTTCGTCTAAAAAAGTGATATACTATGTTAAAGGAAATATTAATATCTCAGCAGGCAGCCATCTTGCTGAATTAAGTATCCTGATCGACTGAATGTCTTAATAGCAGACGGTAGTCATCGTTCAAATAAATAAATAGTCAAAGGTGGTTGTACGTCCCGCACCCCAGTTCTGACGATGTTGGCCGGGGCGTGTAAACCCCATCCCTCCCCCCGTGCCGTATGGCAGCCTCTCGCCACCACTCCCGCTCTACCAGCGCACTCTCCTCCTCCGAGCCACTCGTGCCCGCAGGTGAACACGTGCCGCCAGCATGCGCATCGTAACCCCCTGCGGAGGATCTTTTTTTTCTCTTCCACCCGATTAAAATGTGTTTCTAGCGATGATGTTTTTTTTCAGTCCTTGAATGGGCATGGATGTTTCTTCCCCCCCCCTCTTTTTGTTTTAACTACATCGTGTTTTCGTTGCACTCGTTTGTAACATAGGTGCCGTTGCCTTTGGAACCCTAGTGTCTGGCCCAGTGACTGCCACGTTGTGTCCCTGTGTTGTGTTTTGTGAAAGGCCTGTGCATTTTCCTCGTGTAACAGTGAATCGTGCGCGATGAGAGATGGTGCGTGTGTGCTGCATGGCCCGGCAGCGTGACCTGTTTTAACAGAGCGCATGGGGTGTTTTTAAATGTGTTTAACATGGCCACGTGTCGCTGCTCTGCTTCTCTGCAGGCACAGCACTGCCAAAACTCTTGAGCAATAGCTCTGTGGTTTTCCTGCCAAATCTGGATCTGTAACCATTAACCAAATATTACTAATTTAATGAAGAGTTGCTTATAGTATTATATTTAAAGGAAGTATTTTTTTATCAAAATTGTAATTTTTGGCAGGTTAACTGGATCCATTTTGGCAATTTGTATTTAGTGCATCTCTGCTTGTGGTGTGTTCTGTATTAGTTAAGCATCTGCCTACATTATGCTTATGGTATTCAATCTGATGATCTTTCCTTGGAACCTATTGGTAATATCATAAGTCAAGTGTACACTGGCTCCTCCTGGTTCTTGACAGCTTGGGGATTTGTTATGACATAAAATGCACCCACATTGTCATGTCTTGGTTAACCCCACTAAACTGTTACTTTCTGAGAGGACAGAGAATGCAATTGATGTATTTTATTCCACAAGAAAAATGACATTTCCTAATGAATACTCCTGATGAGAGGCATCGTTTTTATCAAACAAAGAGCACAGCTGATGATTAATTCTTGGCATATTTCTAACCAGTAAATATAACTCTCCTGTTGAGCGGCAGTGGCCAACCAGTCAATGGTTCCTGAATAAATACAAGGCTGTGGCTCTGCCGTTGGTTTGTTGAACGACTTGGATCTCACTGCTGTGCCTCTTGTGGTGTCCCCCTAACAGACCGGTTTTCGTTGAGCCACTCTGGGCGGCTGCTGGGAAATGACATAGAAGCGGCCGTAGCGGACGCACTGGTAAGACTCAACTACGCATCTCTTCGAACCTCTATCTGTTCTGTAGCTCTCTTTGCTTTCTCTTGCCTTTCACAATCGCTTTCCTTTTCCCGCTTCTGTTTTTCTGTTCTTCTATCTTCACTTTTCTTTCTTCATTTACTTTGTGTCACCTGTATTAATTACCTGTACTGGCCCTGCTAACGCTAACACGCGCTGTTCTCCTCGCAAGTAAGATGGATCGTCTGTGCTGTTGCACAACCGGTGCTTTGGGTTACATGTAATAACATCCAGTTTAATCTCTTGCCCCATAACCACCCTGCTACACGCAGCTTCTTGGAGATCCTAGGAGCAAGGTACTCCATGTTGGGTTTGCAATCTTCACTTGGTATTGACTGATGTTATGGCTTGTGTTTCAAAGTGCTCTTGATTTTGCCGAGTTTCCACTTTAATTACACGAGCACTTTGGGGTCTATGTGTCTGTTTCACATGTGCATTTGTGTTTAAAGAGTCAATATTTTTCGTGCAGTAGAACATCTGTATAATTTATATTTTCTGCTAATGAATGTCGATAACAGCAGGCCTTCTTTCCTTGGCTCTCCTGTATCAAAATTATGTTCACGATAGCATGTTAAGGTGGTATCTTTTTATTATTAAAAGGTCAGACTTTCCAAACAGCTGTTCCTTGTGTTATATATATTAAATGCTGTAAATATACACTTGTAAATTTGGCAGTCATTCTCGCATCTCACGGAAATCAGCGCAAGTTGTGGCATCAGTACGGCAGTCCTGAAATCTTTGATAAACACACGTGCAATTTTTTTCCCCACACGCACTACAACATTGGATTTCATAGTCAAGCCAAATTAAGTAAATACAAGCCTTAATCAATCAGCCTTCTTTACATTTGGACTGCCATGTTCCTTGACGGCTTTCCACGAACGTGCACTGTGAATTCTCAGTGTTCTGGCATTCTTATCACGCGTGTGCTCATCGTTCTCTCTTTCTCCTGCTCCCCCCTTCCACTTCCCTTCCCATCTTAGAACAAGCCGCGACGGAGGTATGAGCCGTACGGCTCCATGTACTCGGACGATGACGCCAACAGCGACGCATCGAGCGCGTGCTCGGAGCGCTCGTACGGCTCGCGCAATGGCTCCACGTCGCTCTACCTGCGCCAGATGGAGGACGTGGCGGAGCTGCTCAACCGCTGCGCCAGCGCCAACTGGACCGAGCGCAAGGAGGGCCTCATCGGTCTGCAGGCTCTCTTCAAGTCGCAGCGCACGCTCAGGTGCAGGCCCCCCCCCCCCCTCTCCTCTGCATCAAAGCCACTGAGCAGGGGAGAATTGCAGGTGCATCTCATTGCATGGGACTCGCGGATGGAGAGTGCCGCCAGCATCAAATTCCATTGCAGATGAGCAGCAACGTACAAACAGATGCTGTCGTGAATAAAACACCTGCGTTGTACAATTGCAGTCCAAGTTAAAGTTGTAAAGCAGTGTTTTATTCATGACGGAGATGTTCGAATGTGTCCTGTACCAGCAACTGTTTGGTTCATCCTGGTTTGCGCCTTTGATCTACTTAACAGTCGAGTGGAGCTGAAGAGACTCTGCGAGATTTTCACAAGGATGTTCGCTGACCCTCCCAGCAAGGTAATTTGACATCACCACTTTACTGGATGCATTAATCACATTTACCAATTAATGCATGAGGTGATTAATCAGTGTGTTGATCAATGAGATGCCTGTTGTGTCAGCTGTTGGCATTTAATGACTATGATTTAATGCGGTTTTTTTCTGTCTTGTGTAAACATCTCAATGTAATATGCTGGATTTGTCTTTTATTAATAACTCAAATTAAAACTGTTTGAAAATTAAAATTCTGGAACCTTATTATCATAAAGTGTGTTGTGTGATTTACTCACAACTATGATTTGTGGTTTGATGTGGGTGACCTAACCGCATATGCAGGGCATGTCCTAGCCTGCCTTGTGGTGCCCAGACTTGTGTTATTCACCACTGTACGACACTGACATTGTCTTCATTTTCTTTTTTTTGTCACATTGATTTGCACCCTGCGTTCTTGTGCTGGGACGGAATAGAGAGTAAGTGTTGTGCACTTCCCTGCACGACACTAACACACTCATGCTCACCATTAACATGCTCCGTTCCTGCGTGAGACACTAACCCATGCCTAATTCTTCTTGTCCGGTGATTTCTTCTGTTGGGAGTAACGGTGTATTGTTGGAAAAACAAACGGAACATCAATATGCAGTGGTGGAAGCAATTTTTGGTCATCAGCAGTAGTTTCAATTGGAAGTCTTCAGCTCTCAACTTTTTAAAGTACATTTGTAAATCTTGATTTGAAGCTTTCGTGACTGCAGGAATCCATACTCTTTGGTTCTTTTCGTAAAGTCACATAGGTATAAAAATAACATACATCACGACGTTTCGATCGCAACACAAGCGATCGTCCTCGATCGTAAAAAATTATCCAGCAGTAGAACTGCTGAACCAGCGAGAGAGCTGCTGCAACAACAAGAGGTTATATATGTTTGCCACGGGCGAGCAAACGGGGTCCGAGCTGGAAAGGAGTCCCATCCCCGCACGGGAGATTAACACAACTGTTGTGCTTGCGTGCGGGGATGGGACCCCTTTCCAGCTCGAACCCCGCTTGCTCGCCAGTGGCCAACATATATAACCTCTTGTTGTTGTAGCAGCAGCTATCTCGCTGTGTTCTTCCTGGTTCAGCAGCTCCACTGCTGGATTGTTTTTTTCCGCCTGAGGACGATCGCTTGTGCTGCGATCGAAACGTCGTGATATATATTATTTTTTATTTAATTTTTCTACCTACGTGACTTTACCGAAAGAACCAAAGAGTATACATTTGTAAAGTCTAATCAATGAACCTCGAGGTTTAAGTCTGTGCTAGCATGTATCTAGAAGTACAAGATATTTTACACTAAATGACTGGCCTTGTCTTTGCATTAAATGTATCTATTCTGCAGTCACACTTGCTTTCTAAGTAATGATTTAATAATTTCTCGCATACTAATATACAGAGCTTTAATCAATATATTTAGGTCTTTGTGTGTGCACTTAAACTCAGCTGCATTTCGCATTTTCCCCCGACCTGTCCGCTGCGCCCGTGTGTGCCCGTGTGTGGGTGTGCGGGTGTGCACGTGCGACAGGTGTTCAGCATGTTCCTGGAGACGCTGGTGGACTTCCTGGTGTTGTACCGCGACGAGCTGCATGACTGGCTCTACCTGCTGCTGACCCAGCTACTCAAGAAGATGGGTGCCGATCTGTTGGGCTCCGTGCAGACCAAAGTGCAGCGCTGCCTCGACGTGACGAGGTAACGGCACATTCTGGCTCCACTGGAAGCTGTGCACACTCTGCCACTGCTGCCCTTGCCTTGGGTGGTGTAGATTGAGAGCTCAGGTTTTTACGAGAGGAGGATTAGGTGATGCTAAGGGCCTATGTATCCAACCTCTTTTAATTTTCTGTAATCACGGTATGGGCTTGATGTTTATCTGGCTCCTTGGGACATCAGTGCTGGCCAACACTGGTAGTTACGATGTATATGAGCTACTATTAATACTGACCAGCGTGGTGAAGTATCATGAAACATCTCGAATGACCTATACGACGTTGAGAAACATCTCGCAATGGATTGATAAGTGGCTGTAAATTAAATCTGCCACCTGTCAGTATCTTAGATATCACTGACATTTGTGGACTGCATAATTGCGAAGCAGTGTGAAGTGAGTCCAACTGAGTCGCAGACATAGTCTTGGGAGCAACACTATTTATTACATCAACACAACACAACATAACCTACACTCGGGTGTTGAACGCCCATCTAACCACGCTACGGCAGAGCTAGACACTGTCCCGTTATCCCGGTCCGGACCACTAGGTGGGTCCCGGACCGCGTGGCTAGAAGCTTCTTCAACCCGATGTGGATCTTCTTCACCAACAACCCGAAGAACCCCGAGCCCCTCACGGGGGCCCCCGTTATATCGGCCCGGGCTGGGGCTGGCTCCGCCCCTCGCCCCGCCCACCTTCTAGATCTCTCGAGCTCTTTCCCGAAGGCTCACGAGAGCTCCTCTATACCACGTGACCACCCAGCGGCCCCCGTCCACCGGTCGCCCTCCTCCAATATCATCCGGTCACGTGTCGGCAGGTCAACCAGCGTATCATGCCCCAACGTAACCCTGGCTGGCTGACGCTCTCGCTCCCTCACCGGGAACCCGCACCGCACACTGTACGTGGTGCTTCTACGCTAACCAGCGCTCACCTAAGTCCCGCTAGGGCTGGTGCTACGCCCAGTAACCGGGCTGCACATAATGACAACATATTATCCGCCGTGGCCTCGCAAGCCCGGCACCACACAGTGACATTCACAGTCACTACAAATGTTTTTCCGACTCGCAAGGTACTCAGTAATGCTTTAAATAATACATGTTCACTTGCAGAAACACATGAGTAAAAACATCTCTTCTCTGCTATGTATAGGGACTCATTCCAGTTTGATCAGCAGTTCAACATCCTGATGAGGTTCATCGTGGACCAGACACAGACACCCAACCTCAAGGTGAGAGATCTGTTGATTTGCATTGACAAAACTCTACTTGCTTTGTCATGTCACTTCACGCCGTGTGACACACCGTGTCACTTCACGACCAGCTTTCCCCGATCAAAGCTGCTTGCTGTGTCGGGAGATCTGGTCGTGATGTGGCACGGCAACCATTTCATGGGTGTGACTAATGTACCACGTCTCCCTCAGGTGAAAGTCGCCGTGCTGAAGTACATAGAAAGTCTGGCCCTGCAGATGGACCCGGCCGACTTTGTCAACTCTAGCGAGACCCGTCTGGCCGTCTCGCGCATCATCACCTGGACCAGCGAGCCCAAAAGCTCAGACGTCAGGAAGGTAAAAGCTGCAGGGAGAGAGGGGGGGACCACTGTATCTGATAGCCAGTGTGAGGAGATTCTCATCATCACCTGAGGGACTGTGAGCATTCTGTCCCCCTAGGTATCACAAGGGGGTATTGCATCGGCCGCCACACAGAAACTGATTTTCTATTATAAGAAACTTGTTTTGTTGGCCTCTTTCCTCATTGAAAATAAATGCCACTGCTGTTATGTATTTCAGGTGTCTACATCATGTACAGCACAGATTCCTAACCTCCATTCCTTATCCCTCCATGATGCACCTTCCGCATTCCCCCCATTCTTGTTAATTCAGTTTCATATATTTATTTAATATTTAATTATTTAAACAGTATATGGCACCACATGGATTTACACTTAAGCATTCTAACCCAAAAAACAATTATAAATCACTGTGAATCATTAAACCACCCGATGATGGATAAATACAGAAACATGGACCGCAGTGGGTTTGATCGCATTAAGGAAAGGCAACATTTGTTGGGCTGACGTTGTTGATGTCCACATTTTGTACTAAAACTTCATATTAGTTGACAGTGTCTCACATGACAATAGAATAGGCTTTTTCCTTTTCGGCAATAATACAGGTGTTCATATGTTCAAACACGTTTGAACCTATACCTAACTTATACAAACATGTTTGAACATCTTAACACCTCTATTGCCACAAGCCAAAAGGTCCCATAGATGGTCTTGACAAGTTAAACCAGTAGATCTGAACACGTATCGTCGGTTTGTAAATAGATGCATGGAACAACATCGCTGTAATATGCAACAGCTGTGCGCTGTGGCGCAAGACATACAATGACGCACATTTACTAGCGGCGGTCGCAGGCCACTGATATTATGCAAATGTTAAAGGCTCGGCTGAAACCCACGTGCTAAATAAAATACAACCACGTTACACTCTCAGCTGCTTGCATGCTGGCTTCCAGGAGAGGGCACCCTTGCCCAGTTCATAGCAGCTTCGAACTGGTCTTGAGTAAAATGTTTTACCTCAAGTAATGCATGTTTTTTTCAAATATATCCACAGTGCGTTGTATACATTTTACAAAGGTGCATCAATAGTGATTTACACTTTAGCGTGGTGTCAGCATTCACTGGTAGCACAGGGGGTTCCAAATACTGTTAAGTATTGTCTAAACAATAGCAAATTGAGGATTTTTTTAAATATATGTTCTTAGAAATGTAAGTGCATATCCGATGTAGTTTTGTGGCACTGTTGCAGTTTAAGTTAATTATAAACCGTTGTTGCTGTGGTTTCTTTGGTTGGCGTGGGTTGGCGCATGTGTTTAGGTGTTGTGCATAGAGGACATTTGATCCTACTCCAAGTCTTTTAATTTTTGTTGCCGTTCTTCTAACATTGCGTTATGTGTTAACGCATGCAGTCATTTACAGTTTTATAGTGAAACGTTTTAACTTGATAATTTTAGTCAGTATTCTGTATGTACTTTGAAATATTAACGTGCATGCAGGCTTAGCCTAGGGAAACAAGTGGAGCATTTGTGTGAATGTCTCTTAATAATTAACCACAAGCATAATTCAGATATGTTTGCATTCGGGTCACAGTGACTTCAAGCTATTTGACCTTGAATGTGACTTTGTTTTACTACCGCTAAATGATACCACAGAAGAACGTGTTTGGGAATCGGCAAGCTTACGGTTGTGCCTTAAGGCATTCTTTTGCTTTATATGTAAACTCACGCAGTGGACAAGTCTAAAAATTATTCCTCATGTTGATGCTTGTCCATTATTGAACCTTAACCATTTATAAGAGCAATACAATATTAAAATACGTTATAACTTGCATTCATATATAATGTTTAAATTTAAGTACATTTCATTGCCGTATAAAACGGTGGACATACCTATGTTATAGAGAGGGGGGTAGTCTGTTTTAGGGGTAAAAAAGAAAGGTCTTGAGCCTGGACTTGGAACAGAGACGGAGTCGACAGCACAGATGGCTGGAGGAAAGGGAGTTCCAAAGAATGAGTGACCTCACACTCGTTGAAGGCTATTGGGGGCTTTAATAGAAATCCTTGGTTGTTGAGTGGATATGTTACAGGGATGGTTGACTGACTCTTAGATACAACTGCCACCAATCCAATGTGCACTTTGTCTTGCTGGAAGTAGTGTGCAGATTTTATTTTGGAGCCACAAACTGGAAACATTTAAAAAGCTTCAAACATTTTAAATCTAAAACTTACTTTCAGATTTTTTTACTTTTTGCTAGGATGTGATCACTTATTCTACCGTCATCCTGGTGTGTCAACATGAGTGTATTCACAGCAGTATATGGTGCAACGAAATGTAGCGCAAACACTACTGATGTGTGTGGACGTGTGTTCCAAGTGCAGTGTGTTCCCTATGTAGTCCATGACTACTATTTAATATTTAGCCCAAACATAACCACTCACATAATGGCCCACAGCAAGGAAATTGAGCGTTACACATTAGTTGTGGAAATGGTCACACACGTAGATTTTACAACAGTTGACGTTGGCGAATTGTGGTGTGCGAGTCTCGGCACTGCCTACATTTTTCTCACACTTTCAGCACATCTGCCCTTCTGAGATAACTTCAATACATGTTTGTGTTAATTTAAAAGACAGCCATTGTGGCTTTCCAAGATTTTATAAACTATACATTGCAGTCTCTCTCCATCAAATGAAACGTTTTTGCCCTGTACCTTCCCAACCCCACCATCAGACCGCCCCTGGTCTGTATGCCGATGAAACCTTGTACAGATCTTGTTCTTTGGAAGGATCCACAGATGGGCCCTGTAAAAAGGTAGACCACAGGGCAACCGTGCGGCGTCACTCTGAATGCCTCTTAACTGACCGTCTTGTTCTGCAACGGACATTTTTTGTGTATCCTTTGCCAGAGCTTGATCTTGAACTCGATTTTTATTTAATGAGATGGTGTAACTGAGTGACTATTTCATTTCCAAATGGGGATTCTACCTGCTGCTTGGTCACCCATTATAATTTTAATAATGTAACAGATAATCAAATATCTAGAAGTAGCGATTTAGGTAAGCCAGCCATCTAAAGAAGTTATGGTTACGGACTGGAATGTTAATCAGCATGTGTGTCGGTTTCCTAACTTGCACACATTTTCCACAATACATTACGCTAAAACGTACAAGCAGCTACAGCTGCAGGACCACACGGCTAACAGCACACAAGGCATCTCGGCAACGAGTTGTTACTGCTGAGGAAACACGTGCTGGATGCAGTATCGAGGAGTTACAGTTTCGGTGTAATTAAACTTAATATCCATTTAAAATGGAGGCCCATTGGACAAATAAAGACATGAACGATGCACAGTAGAGATCAAGCCCTGGCTGGTGTGATGGGTTGGTTGAGTTTGGCGATTCACCGCGGTGCGTGTTGTGTGGCACGGGCATTTCCTTAACATTTTGCCGTGCCATCCTCTATAACCTGAGGCAGTAAAAAAGGGACGGGTGCTTTGTCCATAAAGTGCTGGCGCGGTCGGTTGGACAGATGGACAGGGGACGGCACTGTGTTGGGCTACAGGTGGTGGGGCCTGGCTGATGCGGTTTGCGGCATGGGTTGCTGCGGGCTTCTGGTTGTGTGCGCTAAAGCTCTCTCATGGCACTGTCCTCTGCAGCAGGAGGCTGCAAAGCTCTGGGGCTTCTGGGCACTCATTTAAGACTCACTCGCTCTCACCCTCCCGTCATATATTTTGCAGCATCCCAACAACAAGAAAGGTTTTGGCTTCAACTGACAAAACCTCTCTGTTGATGTTTTTGCAATCAATATTCCCTGTTTAACTTCAGTGATAAGCTCCGTGTAACATCAGTAACATTGCTTAATTAGTGTTCATCTGCACCTTAGGCCATCAACATATGCCATTGGCAATCTACGGTGTGTACGTTCAGTCACCATTGTCATTTTACAATTTTAGTTTTTTTTGTTTTACTAAGTAACTGTCATTAGCTGCATCGGTCTAAAATGAAAGGTGACAAGTATGCATATTAAAGTATTAAAGCTTTCGTGACTGCATAAAGTTACTCATTGTTTTTTTCGGTAAAGTCACGTATGTAGAAATACAATAAAATTATGGGCGGCGCGGCAGTGTGCCCGCATGGGCGGCGCGGCAGTGCCTGTAGCTCTGACAGCTACAGGCTTAGTGCGGCCTGGATGTAATTACCAGCGAAACGTCGTACTCAAAAAATTTTAATTGTTGCGGATTCAGTCTTCAACACACCGGTGGGCTAAAGTAGTGAACTATTTGTCTTTTGTCAACGTGACACTTTTTTTGCTGATTGGCCATGTCGGGTGGTGGAGGGTTACGACACATTTATAAATAACGCGATCTAATCCAAAAACCTTTATTATGAATAATATTGGTCGCGAAAGCCTACGTGTTAAACTGACTAACCTCTATGGGGAGGATACTTTTGCGTTGTGATCGAAACGTCGTGATTGTTTTTTGTTTTAATATAATTTCATTGTATTTCTACATACGTGACTGTACCGAAAAAAACCAATGAGTAAGTATGCATATGTTTTGATGAGCAAAAAATTGTTTTGACCATTAGTGTATATGAAGATTCCCCGTATAGCATTAGCAGGCTATTGGGGCAAGTGCTGTTAGCGAGCACCTATGAAAGACGGCACGGCCCACGAGGGGGCGGGTGACCAACACCACGCCCGGCGGCCATGTTTACACACCGCACCAGGTACTCAGATAATCGTCACTGGTATTGACCATGAGCGGGAATTGAACCCTGGTTGCCGGGTTCGTAGTGCAACGCACTAACCGCGATGCCACCACTCACACACACACACACACACCCCCACGAGCGGGTCTCTCCCGCCCTTTGCGAAGTGATGCTGATATTGCGTTGATGCGGTCGTTTGCCTGCAGGCGGCACAGGCCGTGCTGATTGCGCTGTTTGAGCTCAACACTCCCGAGTTCACCATGCTGCTGGGGTCGCTGCCCAAGACCTTCCAAGAGGGAGCCACCAAGCTTCTCCACAACCACCTGCGCAACACCAGCAATGCCGGCACAGTACGCCCGCTCACCAGCCACACGCCCGTTTTCCCTTGCGCTGCACCGTGATTATACTAATGTGCTGTCAGGGTATACTTGCCTTCTCCAGGCAGTGTCCAAAGGGAGAAATTGGCAGTGGAAATGTTTGTGGGATTGTAAAGTCCAGCTTGAAACAACATAGAGGCTGTGTTAGGATTGTACCCCGTACATGATAGTTGTTTGTACACCCAATTGTGTGCGTGTGCCACTGTTGTGTTTGCAGAGCTCTCCTGGCAGCACGGTGACCCGTGGGACACCACGTGCCTCGCTGGGTCGTGTCAGCCCACTCACCTCCCCTACCATGACCTCCCAGGGGGCCCTCTCCCCCAGGTGAGATTCTCAAAAAGGCACTGTGACCTGTTAGATAGAGAATCTGTTTGTTAATCACATTGTGTATGCATTCTGTTTTCCACTATTGTGTGACTGAGACATTTTCTGATGATGTGTCAATGTCAAAATTGAGATACGTTTGTATCGACGAGCAATTTAGCTGACATTTGGCATCTGTCTTCATGTGATGCAAGTGTGTTAAGTATAACTTATTTTACGTAATCATTTTAATTATACCAGTTACAAATCACATTATGTTTGTGTGTGGCTTTCTTCTTTCCCTTTCCCATTCATTCCACGTCCCTTAAAACCTACCTTAACAAATTAACCTTTACCCCCAATCGCTTGGCAAGTCGTGCGTGGGGCTTGGGTGCTGACCTATCCCCTCGGTCCCTAGCCCTCCCCACTTTCCGCCCCCAGCCTCTGTCCCCACTCTCTGCCTATGCTCCCAAAGGCATCTGGCGTAAATATTCACCCAGGTAATAGCACAGTCTATCCCTAGCTTCTAAGCTGCTGCTCCTACTGCTCCTACTGACTCTGCTGCTGCTGCGGCTCCTGCTGCACCGGGCTCCCTGGGTCCCCTCTGGGTTGCATGGCACACACGGTGCGGCCACGGAGTGCTCGCGTATCAGTGGGGCAAGGAAGGGTGCTTTTTGTTCGCCACTAGCCTCATCTGCAGTGGCATGAGCGCATGTTTGAACACTGGAAAAAAAAAAGTATTTGTGCAGCATTACTTGTCACAAATACTGCCGTCTGTGACGTTCACTTTCATGGCTTTTGGCGACAGCAAATTCAGTGTCGTATTCGTGCCAGTTCGTGGTTTGTGCAAAATCTGTGTTGCAATCAGCAGTTCTCAAACTCCAGTTGTCACGCCACCACACTATTTTTCTTTGTTTACCAACAATCTCCTTTCAAACATTACTTCGGTAGTAATTTACTGCAAACACCTGTTGATTGATAAGCAGGGAACTCCAGAACATTAAGAGGGACTTTAGGACTGGAGTTAAAGAACAACTGATTAGAGAAATGCAATATCAAACAATTACTATATATGTTTGCAGTAACTGGTGAGTTTTTTCATGATAGAAATTATAATTTTCTGTTGGACAAAATATCTATTACGAATGGATTTTTTCCTCCTCGGATTTCCATAGTTTAGTCTTTATATTGACTTTATTGGAGCATGCAAGTTGGTGTGGCATGAATAACAATGACACAAAACAATTTAAAATGTTCTGATGTCTAAACAAATTAAATCTGAACTCATTTATAGGTGTGCATTTTTGTTAGTATGTTAAATAAACACGTTGTACCTCTGGTGTACACCAGTAAAGCCAACTGGGGCGGTGACATGGCCTAGCAGTAGCACGTTCGCCGCTTGTTAACCTTAAAAATGCGTACTGCCTGCTTGCTCGTGGACATCAAAGATCCCGTTACATAATTCACAAGAGTAGGCCATTGTGTGCCGGCGTCGTGGTCCAAAATTTCCAGATGTAAAAAATTGCCTGCAAATTACTCAGTTGGAATATATATAGCAACCATTGCCCCCTATTGTGAAAATTTGGCAGGCCCCATTTGAAAAAGATTCATGAGACTCCAATTAGCCTTTTCTAGCTAAACAATTTTTTTAATTAAATTACTACAATAGTTGGGCCCAAAGCCTGCCCTGAGAACCAAACAGAAACCATTGCTGTTGACTTGTAACGTCTGTGCAAAAAAAAAAAACCACTGCAGTGGATTGGTTTAAGTAAATAAACTGACACCATAGATTCCAGTCGGTTAGACTGTTGCTTGTACTTAGAGTACGTCTGCATGCGTGCGAGTGTGCACTTGCGTGTTTGTGCATCACGATCCATGTCTCGTGCATATTTCCCTTCCTGCTCGTGTGCGCACTAACCATTGCGTGCACCTTGCGGTGTGCGTGCATTTGCAAAAACACATTGCCGGCGGTGATAGCCTGCTGGACTACGACACGGAAAACCTGAATGCAGAGGACATCTACAGCTCCCTGCGCGGCGTATCGGAGGCCATACAGAACCTGAGCTTCCGTAGCCAGGAGGACCTAACCGAGCCGCCCCACAAGGAGAGTGACACAGTGAGCTGCTCACCCCATCTCCCATACCCTACACATTTCCCATAGCTTCCCTGTCTTCCATTCTATCCCCATCTCCCATAATCTTTCAAATCCCCATACCCTTTCCAGGCCCTGCAGCCCTTTCTTAACCCCATAATTAAGGGGAATGGCTGTTATCAATGGGCAGCATCAAGAGTAGGTGGAGGATCTGTCACAGCAACATTTATATATCAACGGAGATTAATAATACCTGCTCTGTGGGTGCACACCACAATTTGTGGTTGTAGTTTTGTTCTATATTGTTTATAGGTTATAATTAGGTGACGAAGGAATAGCAAAACGACACGAACTCTGTCCTGAAGCCCTCTCATGGCTAGCTGACCTCGACATTGGCATTTAGCTCCTGACCATATAGATTACACAAGATAGAATATAATTAGGTATAAGATTCTTATTTTGTGAGAGGAACAGAAGAACATTGGGAAAGTCAAGTATGTATCAATAAAATGATAACCCTTATTCAGTAAGATGATCCCAGAGGGTCTGGTTATCAACTGCCATTGCAGAGGGTGCAGAATAATCACCGACAGTGACATCCGAAAAAGATGTAGTTTTAATCTAGTGTGTAATATACACGCACACTTAGACTATGACCTATCCTATAAGTAAACAATGAGTTTCCACTTTAGTAAATTAAATTATTACACAAATGGATACAATGTTTTGGCTAAAATTTTTATTTTTCAGCAGACCATTGTATGGAATTGATGTTGGTGACAGCCAAAGGAAAGTACAAATTACAGAAATTTCTGTAGTATTTTGATTTGTTTAAAACAACCGTTGATAGACATACATTTTAATAGTTTCTAGTGTTGGGGTTTTTTTTCCCCTAGTTTGTTGCCAAAACTCGTGAGGAATGTTGTCCCCATGTTTATCTTGCCAATACAAGAGGCTGGTCTGTGCTGGACCATTCTTGCATGTGTTTTGTATTGGCATAGAAGTTCCGCTGTTAGATGTATGTTGTAGACTGCAATTTGAAGAATTAAAAATCTATGCTGACTGAGGCTCCTTTACGGACATTTGCCTTGTTTGCTGGAATTGCTGGAAAATTTTTAATAACTGTTTGAAGTTAAGAATCCGTAGGCACATACCGCAGTAACGAATTCCAGTGACACAATAACAATACAATAATGGTTACGTCACCCCAGGACTACAGAGGCAAGCATTGCATTGTTACGGAATTATGCACTTACATTTGCCAAGAAATCCAAAGACGAAGCTCTTAATGTACCACCAATCCCGAGCACCCTACCACTTAGCCAGGAGCCAATCGCCCTTATGTGTCTCCCTTAATTCTGCTTTAAATAGTCCTATCCTGCCACAAAACAAACTTTGAAGTACAGCTAAGACATATATCATAACAAACTGACACACGCATGTTCCCAAAATGTACAGTTCTGCCGAATAGACTGGTGTGTGTTTTTGTCATGTAGGAAAGATGTGTCGATACTGAATGTGATGAAGTTTGACGGTCCTTGCTGAAAGTAGTATTCGTGACGTTGTAAAAGCTGTTGTGGTTAGGATGTCTCCAATATCTTAAACTATTCCACATCGACGGCACCACTGGAAATTAATTACAAGACAATGGTGCCAGTTGGAAAGTACCGAAACCTCGTTAAATTCACTCTGCCATAGTTTTGAGAAAGGAGTTATGCTGCTTGCACATGTGATCCTACATCCTATCATTTGGTTAAACATTTGTATTACACCACATTTTCTTGAATAAGATCATTTCTAAGATTTCCTTATTTTTTTGTGAGGAAAGCCTCACTGCATATTAACTTTCAGGAGGGTCCTGCTTTTGAACTATTTGGCCATTTCCTTCACGTGTATTTGTTCGTGTAGAAGGAAGCTTATGTACTTAAAAATAAACCGCACATATAAGGCTGCCAAATCCATTCAACGGGTCTGCAAAACACTCGCCATATTGACGTCTGCTGGCCATTTTATAGCCTGCGTTTAGCGCAAGTGCGGCGGCTCCGTGAATAGACACGTGCGTGAGTGCGCTCTTCCCATTCCCCCCCCTTCCCCCCCCGACAGGCATCGCGCGACAGCGGCATCGCGGCCTCTCTGACGGACGTGCGCGGGCCCAGCTCGGCGGACTCTGTCGACGGTCCGGCCGGCCGCACGGTGCTCGACAATAAGACGTCGTCGCTGCTCAACACGCTGGCCCCACGCCCGGCGGGCTCCAGCTCGCGGCTCGTGCGCGACTACAACCCGCTGCACTACGCCGACACGCTCATCGCCATCGGCTCGGTGCATGAGGACGAGGCTGGGCAGCTTCGTCACGGTACGTGCAGCGGCACTGAAAGCGCTCTGGGATGCTGCTCTGTATGAAGATCACTGTATCAAAGGAAAATGTTGTCATCAATTTTTCCCTGTTCAGCAACCCATAAATAAGTTTAGCTTTTCCTCCAAAAGTAGCGTTTTTGATTATCCAGTTGAATTGTTGTTTCATTTTGATATTTTCGTGTCTTTTTTAACCAGTTAATCATCGTTGAAACTGAAATAAAAGTACAAGTGTTTTTCTGCTCAAGTGTGGGGTGATAATCAAATCCAATGACATTGCTGAGTAATTAGAGGCAATTATACATTTATATTACTGGGGCTGATATCTGCATTGAACCAAACTACTGTTGATTAGCCATAAAGTGGTACTTATTTTAATCACCTTGCCGTGTGTCGTTACCTGCCTTAGCACTACCTGACTAGATAATATACCTGCTGGGGAATAAACTTTTAAAGTTGTATAGGGTATCATGGAGGTGGTCATCATATTTAAAAGATGCCCGTGTGTGCATGGTCATATCTGTGTTAATGAAATTTACAGCATGAGACAGAAGAACCAAGTTTAACACAAACATAATTCACCTTCATCATCATCATCAGCCAAGGTCTATTCACTGTTGGATGAAAGCCTCCCCAAGCTGTCGTCATCCTGCATGGTCCCGCCATGGCACAATCCAACTCCTGCACACAAACTCATCTCGTCACTCCATCTCCACAATGGTTGTCGGTCTTCTTGGGCTCCCAGCGTCCATCAGCGTCCATCAGCGTCCATCAGCCATGATGCCTTCTCACACTTAGTCCTGCCCAATCCCACTTATTGTACCAGCCGATGGGTCTCTGTGATTTGCATTTATTCCTTCCTCCAAGTGTTTCTTCTCTCTCTCTTTTCTGTGATTCCTAGCGTGCATTTCTATTACGCTTATTTCGTGCACTTTTTGGGGCGATTGTAGATTCTAAATGGTTTTATACGACAGGTTCGTGCACTGCATAAAATAGGCTTTTATTGCTATCTAATATACATGCCCATATGTATAAATAAGAAATATATGGCTAATTCAAGAATCAAATTTAATAGCTACAGTACAAAACCATTCGTACTTTGTGTACAATAATAAATATAATGCCTGACCTTTATAGATATTTAAGAGGCATTTAATTGAGTAGAAATTGTCAATGAAGGTTTCACAACCTAAGGCTTAAATAAAATATTAATAAACCCATTTACAATATGGAGTGGCTTCATTGAGATTGCATGAAGAAAATAACACGATGTTATGTTTTAATTTAACATTACCTTATTAATGTCAGTGTTGAAATGTGCTTTTATTACCATGTTAGCAGTATAAAATAATAGGTTATGTATAATTTACTCTGGAAGTACAAATATTTTAAGTTGTGTAAATAATTTTCTCCTGTTTTGCTTACCATAATTGGGTGATTGTGGAAATTAATATCAGATCAGTGTATGCAGGTAGAATACCAGTGTAATACAAAGGAACATGTGAAAATCACCAAAAAATCTAATCCATAAATAAAAAGGTGTCTGTCTGGTTTTTCAAGTCGTAGGGTTAGGGTACAGCCTCGCATACAGTTGCACGCAGTGATTAATGATTTGAGGGGTTTCTATCTTTTTTCTTGAGGATGTTGGAATGTTGCTTAAAATAATACCTGATCCAGACAGGATCACAACATGCCTCTCTAGTCATCCTCGCAATTGCAGTGTGTCTTTGAAGCAACAAACCTCAATCTGACAAAATGTGATCTAATTTGGTACGGTTTACTCACGTAAACCACCATTGATGAGATTTTAGGCAATACGGAGGTTATTCTATTTTCTCAATCGAGCTCAATCCACTGCTGGATTAGGCCTTCCAATGCCGTTTCTATTTTGGGAATTATTGATCATACTTCACCACGCTAGTCGGTGCAGGTTGGTGAAGGAGAAAGCCTGATCCAGTTCCGGTAACACTCGCCACTGGCCGTTGCCACACATTTTACTTAGGCGAGTCACGGGAAAAAATGTTGATTTAAAGCTTTCGTGACTGCAGGGATTCATATTCTTGTTTCTTTCGGTAAAGTCACGTAGAAGGGAAACAATAAAATAATAAAAATATAAAATTCTCACGACGTTTCGACTGCAACACAAGCAATCATCATCAGGTGTGAAAAACCACAGCAAGGAAATTTGAAAAAAGTGGCGTTTTTTTTTTAAACGTTAGCACCACGGAGAGCGATTTGGCAGTTATTCAGATGGACGAGTCCATCTATGTTCGGAAAAGAGGAGGGGGGAGACGAAAATAATGGATGCGGTCTGAAAGCCACCGTAAGCGTGAACAATTAATTAAGACCCTAAATGGTTTATCAAATCCGTCCAATGATTGCTAAGCCAGAATCCATCATCTCGGTTGAAATTGTCTCTGTGTTTGTATATGCGGATAGCCTCATGAACGAATCTCTCATGGTAGCCAGATGGTTTGCAAATAACCTCTGTCTTGGAGAAGTCAATGTCATGTGAGCCTACTGAATTATAACAGTGATCTGCCACGGCCGAGATCTTGGTCCTACCGTGTTTTAGGTCTGTCTTGTGTTCACGAATGCGGTCCGAGACATGTCGTTTGCTTTCTCCAATGTAACTACTACCACAGAGGCAATTTAGTTTGTAGACGCCAGGGTACTGTATGTCCGGAATCACATCTTTTACAGACGGAACCAGATTATGGATTTTATGTAATGTGTTGAATCGGACCTGGATCTTGTGTTTATTCAAGATTTTGGAGATCTTTTTTGTGATCCCTGCAATGTTGGATAAAGTGATGGTTTTGAAAGGCTCCTCAAGAGGGTCCTTCTTCATGGTTGGAGTGATAGCTTTGCGGATTGTGTAGTCGGAGTAACCATTAGCCTTAAGAGCTTGGTGTACGTGCTTGAGTTAACTGGCTATGTGTTCCTGGTCGGATATGCATTGGGCTCTATGGTGCAGAGTCTTGATGAGGGAATTCTTCTGGGATGGATGGTGGTGGGAATCCGGTTTCAGGTAAGCATCCGTATGGGTAGCTTTCCTGTAGACAGAGTGGCTCATTGAACCATCAGGTCTCTTTTTTATTAGGACATCCAAAAAAGGTAGCTTGCCATCTTTTTCGACTTCCATGGTAAATCTGATGGCTGGGTATTGGAATTGATGTGGTCAAGGAATTGGTCTGGAGCAGGCCGGCCATGTGGCCAGATGACAAAAGTGTCATCCACGTACCTCTTCCATAAGGTTGGGCGCAGAGTGGCAGTCAGGATGGCGTCAGTCTCAAATTTCTCCATGAAAATGTTGGCTACAACCGGAGATGGGGGGAGCCCATTGGGGTGCCCTCAGTTTGTAGAAAGTTCCATTCCAAGTGAAGTATGTATTGGTTAAGCAGTGTCTCACCAGGGGGGGTGTACCTCAGTGTTTAGTCCTTGATGAACCAAGTCTTCAATGATTGCGATGGTGTCAGGTACAGGAACTTTGGTGAATAAGGAAACAACATCAAAACTGACAGGTCGTCTGGGGACAGGGAAATACCCGTGATTGTCGATAAAAGGTGAGTAGAATTTTGTACCGCAGAGGTGGTTTTTCCAGTGAAAGGCCGCAGCATTTCAGACAGAAAACGAGCCAGTTTGTAGGTGGGGGAGTTGATAGTAGAGACGATGGGACGAAGGGGTGTATCTACTTTATGTATTTTTGGTAAGCCGTATTATCTTGGTGGCCTGGCAGCAGAAGGTTTCAATGAGAACTGTTTGGTTTGATCAATTAATGCGGTTGAATCACAAATGATTTTGTTGGTTTGTATGACGAGGCTGTTGGTGGAATCTCTTTTTATTTTTGTATAGCTGCCATCATTGAGTAATTCTTGAATTTTGTTGTTATTCTATAATTTATCCATGATGACAGTGGCATTGCCCTTGTCGGCTGAGAGGATGACAATGTCATCCCTCTTTTTTTATTTATATAATTCAAAACGCTCATATTTGCAGAGGTTGCTAGCTGGCATCTTAGCATTTTTGAGGGTTGCAGCGATTTCAGATCTTGCTACGTCTGCAGCGATGTGACCCAGGCCCTTGAGAGCCACGTCTACTTGGGCAATGATATCATTAACTGGTATGTGTTTAGGTGTGACTGCAAAGTTTAGCCCTTTAGCTAAAACGGATTTCAGACCATCGGAAATAGAACTGCTACTGCGATTAATTACGACTTTGTTAACGTCTAGCTTTTTGGTGTGTGGGTCCGGTCTTTTGTTGGAGAGGAGGTTAAATTTGGAAATCAGGTTGTCCTTACATTTGGTCGACATAGTGGCAGCTGAAGAGGCAGTCATTGTCTACATGTTCCCAATCCGATGTGGACATTGTTGCCGTCAATGATAAGTGTGATTTGTAGAGTGTCTAACTGATCTAGTTCGGTACGTATAAGTCTGATTTTCTCTGAGAAAAGAGCTAAGCTAGTTCTGGAAAGAATTCGTTTCGCATTAGAAGAAGTTACAGCAGCAGAAGTCAGTGTAAATGCGATTGGTATTACCCCAGAGTCGCGGCATCTCTTCAGAAAGGTTAGAGACTCGATCAGCAGAGCCTTCTTATCCCGGAGTTTGTTGAAGCATCTCAAAGTTATGTGGAAACCCTCCCCGTAGAGGCGGTTAAATTTTGATTGGAAGCTTTCGTGTCTGCAGGGATTCATATTCTTGGTTCTTTCGGTAAAGTCACGTAGAAGGGAAACAATAAAATAATAAAAATATAAAACAATCAAATTCTCACGACGTTTCGACTGCAACACAAGCAATCATCAGGTGTGAAAAACCACAGCAAGACAATTAAAGCTCTTTTCTTTGAACCTATCTACGTGACTTTACCGAAAGACCCAAAGAATAAGATGACACCATATTGTGTGATAGATACATAATCACAAAAATGAGTGCAGGAAGTTTATGAAGATCTCTACAGCAAAAAAAAATATATCCCAGGAAAAAACTAATTTCAAATGAGGAGGAAGACATTTCAGGGGTTATACTTAAATAAAATAAAGTAACAATAGATTTGAAGCTTTCGTGACTGCAGGAACTACTCTTTCGGTAAAGTCACGTAGAAAATAAAATAATAATAGAATACGACGTTTCGGTTGCTATACAAGCAACCATCATCAGGTAAGAATGAATGATAACACAGACACGGAAACAACACAGGCAGACACATGCAGAGAGAGACACACACAAAGACACCGCGCGAGACACACACACCAAAAGATAAAACACAGACACGGAAACATAGGCAGACAAACATGTCTTTGTGTGTCTCTCTGCATGTTGTCTGCCTGTATTTCCTTGGTGTGTGTCACGCTTGGTATGTCTTGGTGTGTCTCTCTCTGCATGTTGTCTGCCTGTGTTGTTTCTGTGTCTGTGTTTTATCATTCATTCTTACCCGATGATGGTTACTTGTGTTGCAACCGAAACGTCGTATTCTATTATTATTAGATTTTATTTTCTACGTGACTTTACCGAAAGAATCAAAGAGTAATGTAACAAGATATAACGATATTTCAACTTAAACAAAATAGCAAACACTCAAAAACGATTTTCAAGTTTTTTTGTAGTTTTCCATCACAGCTGTGAACGTGTCAGCCAACCCTCTGTACCTTTCCATGACCATTGCTTGTTCTTGTAATATCTGTCCAATTCCATCCTCATCTAGCTCAAGCCAGGACAATGCCCTTTCATCATTCTAACAGGGCTTGGCCGAATCCAGTTCAGGACCAAAATAACCTTAGATGCAGCGATGAACAGCGGTGTCAGATTGGGCACGACCTTATAGGTACAATGATTCCTGAGCCACACCCACTTAACCCACCTACGATCAACACCCGCTAACCCTGCCCTTCAGCAGCCCACATAGAGGCACTTTACATCTATGTTGTGAAAATACACGTCCCGCGATTGTGTGGGGCCGGCTAGAACAGCCTCAATGGACCACACATATTTTGATCAGCATTCCTGTGTGCACTTTCATCGTCCTGGAACCATTTAGGAATATTCATCGGGCATAACATGGATCCCAGTTCAGTGGACCAATTAAAAAATGAATTGCATTCACAGTAGTCCTTTATCTGGAGAGGTCTCAAAACATTTGTGGTAACTTTTAAATATATAATGTCAGTTTGTTTTTGTGTTTGTATTCATTGCTTATGTGTCTTTGTAGCTCGGAGGTTGAGTGCATTATCAGTTCACCATGCAAGTCAAATACACCTTAAAATAATGTTTTAATATGATGGAGTAAAATTAAACTGTTCACAATTTTTTTGTGTCTAAAACAATCCTCTGGCTTTGTTGTAAATAAATGCGGTGCCTGTTCAGTTGGTTGTAGCCAGAATAGAACACTTTGTTTTGAAGACAAAATGCTAATTTCAATGGGCAAACATTTTATTTTGCTGTTTGTGTACCACGTTAAGCACTGAAAAAAGCATAACAGTATTTATTTATTTCAAGTAGCCTGTTGCACAAAAGATGAGCTACACATGCACAGACACACACAGGGTGAGTTTTAAGTAAGCACACATTCCAACTGTGGAGCAGTTTAAGCTGGCTTTGGGTTAGAAATTGTGAGGATAATTTTCTTTGTCATGTGTTTATGTTGTATTGAGACTCACCTTGGCTAATGGAGCCAGCGCTGGAATGTCAAGGTATATCACTAACATTGTGTCATCTTGACATCGTCTCACTAAAAAAACTGTCTTTGCAAATATCAGTGCGTTTAGCGAAGTTTAGTTTCAAACTCATATTCATGACAAATATTATAACTGTCGTATTTTACGAAGGTGCAATGTCTTCACAATAGCAAGTAATTAACGAAGATGCATCAGGCTTTCCTAGGCCAAGGCAGGTAATTATGATTCAAAATATAACACTATGTAACACGATTTTTGTTCCTGGGTAGTAAGTGTTATTTTATAATTGCTTATGGCTATTATTCCCCATAAACTTTGCTTTTGTGTCTACAACACTTTTGTCTCATCCATATAGTGTTCAAATAACATCGCCCCCTACTCGCAGACTCATGCTCCATATTACTCTTGTTATTCAGACCATCCTAGTCTCATGAGCTCTCATTTGGCTAAATAAAATTAACTTGAAGTTGAAACATGGTGCAGGTAAAAAAAACACCTATCTTTCTGCTTCATCCTTCCCACTGCTTGGCTTTGGAATTCCCCCTCATTTTGGTCCCCAAGCGCTTAAAACCGTGCTCAAGAAACGGGTAAACTCTTTATCTACACCATTGCAACTTTGATTGTGTAGTTTGTTGCTAGGCACTTGACGTTTTCGGGGCTTTGGACCTGTGCTCTGTGCATGCCAGTAAGCCCTGGCTCCCAAGCCGTGACGGGTTTCCCACGATCTTGCCGGCGCAGGTGACATGTCGGAACAGTGCGCCATGGTTTCGGACATCCTACGGGAGCTGGCGGCGGACGCGGACGGCAGCCGCGGGGAGGAGCGCCGCACGGCACTGCTGGAGCTGCTGAAGTTGGCACGGGAAGACGCGCTGGGCACCCGCGACGAGAGCTTCAAGGCCGTGCTGGTCACGTTGCTGGACACGCTCAAGGACGCGGACGTGAGGAGACATTGCACCACACCACTTCGCTTCCGTCACCTTAAACACTCCGACAATTCAGACTGCACGCAGCCTGCATTCTACATGGGTACTGAGTAAAGCGGGGGCGGGGGATAATAGTGCTCGCGTGTGATCTCTGCGATCAGACTCTCGAGGAAGCGCGAGCTCCGATGAGTGTCCGTATGCAGGTAGTCTTGCATCACCCATTGAACGTTGTGTCCTGAATTGGACTGACCTCGGGATGAGGTTCAGAGGCTGTATGGATTCGGTTCAGAGGCTGTATGTTTTCAATATAAGTACAACTTTAAAATTACTTGAATCACATTGATTTTAGGGTGCAACTCCAAATATTATTTATTTTGGATGTTTGCTAACAAAAGGTACCCATGCTATCAATTGCATGGTGCATCTGTTTGCATAATCACAGACGGTATATGTAAAACAAAATTGGCATTAACTAAATTTGTATGCAGAGAATATTCCTATGGTTAGTAAAACTGCTTATGATATAATATTCTATATAACACCTGTAGTTTCCTCCCACGTATAATCGCTCATGAATTGGCTGAAAACGTCTTGATATATACAGAGCTTTGACAATTGTTGGTGCTGGCTCACTGCCTGGCTGCCTTCCAGTTTGTCTGTGGTCCCTCAGCAATTGTGAGACGCAGTTTGTATGGGTGATGCGATATAAAATTAAACATTGTAATTATTGCCATGTCATTTAAGGTGTGAAATGACAAATCTGTATCCTAATTTGTGGAATTCGTAGATAAATGGCAAGCAGTGGTTATGGTTTAAGATCGGTTGAATTCGCATTATACTTTAATGAAGCGTAACATGAAACACCATAATTAGGGGTGCTTTACCGATATATTTAAACTTTTTCAAAGTTAAATATGGCAAGGAGTGATATGACAAGGTGTGAAATCGTTGGGCATTTTCCATGCAATATTTTATCCATTTGCATCCACTATTTTTGCATTCGATGGGTGCTTTATTTGTAAATTGTACATATTAGATCTGCTGATGATAACAATGATAGTGATGGAGCATTGAGCCTCTACGTTAACACATCGGCTGTGGTTTGCGCCCGTGCGACTCACCGCACGCTGTTCTCACTCTGCGAGCGCAGTACACGGTGCGGACGCTGGCTCTCCGTGTGTTGCGGGAAATCGTGCGCAATCGGCCCGACCCGTTCAAGAACTATGCCGAGCTGACCATCATCAGAAGCCTGGAGGCGCACAAAGACCCTCACAAGGAGGTGCGTCTTTTGCATTGAGCGGTGGTTTTATCGTTTAACGTTCACCAGGTGTGCTGCTGCTGCTGCCTTTGCCTATATTACATTGATTTTGAGAAGGGGTTGGTGAATCATGCATAGATACAGCCGGCTATAGACACCCATCTGCAGGGCAATGATGGCTATAGGGAAGGCAGTGCAGTAAGTAGGTTTCTCTTATATGGCTATCTGTGCTAATTATAACATTGAAGCCAATTTTGAGTGCCCGAGTCCAAGCTCAAACCTACGCCTGCGACGTGCAGGCTGGAGTAGGGTCGCGGTTTGTATGGTTGCGAGATTCATGTCGATTTAGAGTGACATTTGGTTGAGAGGCTCATTCTGACTGTACTATCACGATACTCAATAAAAAGATGACCCAGCCACACTTAGGGTATTTTTCAGGCAAAGACATTAAAGACATTATCGAAAGTTCCAGTATGTGGGGTTTGGTTTCCACATCCGTCATTGACTTATAAAGGGAAAATCTGGTAAATTATGTCCCCATGAGCAATTCAAGGAGACATTGTAAAAAGGTCCAGAAACCACAACGACAAAGAGCCCCCGTATAGCCTTAACAGACTGTTGGGGCAAGTGGGTGGCCAGGACCATGTCCGACCGTCTTTGTCTCCCCATTGGCGACTTTTACACACAGCAGGTACTAATTTCAGGCTAAATTGACCTAGGGGAGGCCCAGGACCGGTTCAGATAAAAGTCACTGGTGTTGGCCATGAGGATGTTAACCGCTATACTATCGTTCCCCACAAGAAACCACACGCACTTGCTGACTGACATCACACCAAACTAAGTTTAGCAATCCGCTATATTAATGGCGCTTTTATCTTGAACTGTGGAGCATGGTGGGTGAATATAATTTTAGGGATTGCTGCACGATATTAGTCGAATAGATCACCTGAATACAGTTTATGGATTTCTTTATGGCATAACGTAGGCTATATTGAACTTTTAGATAACTTTCATAGAGAGACTTTAAGAAAATCTTCTCCTGAAAAATAGCAAAAATGATAGGCCCGTGCCTTTATAGATGCAATTTGCTCCTGATGACAGTTGGTTTTGGTTTATAGATACTGAGTTAAATGTTTCAACAAGTTAAAAAGTTAAAATGAATTAATTTAGCTCCTTTGATTATTGAAGCTTTGTATGTGCTCTTTACACTCCACTGACACGTGCACAATACAAAATAACCTTGAGTGATGCCATCGATAACGATCAGTGTCATTGTAATAATATGGAGATTGACGTTTTCTTAAACAAGAAACCGAACTGAGACTGCACCTCCACCCATATGCGTGTACACGAGCGAGTGTTGTGTATGACCTAATGCAAGGTTTTGTAAACATTGTTCTTGTTGCTACAATATCGATTTGCATAATTTGAAATGAAGATGGCCTGATAAGTTGTTGAAAAATGTTGCTCTGTCTTGGCTGAATTTTTTTCCCTATTTTTAAAGCGCTTATTACTTTGTTCTAAAATGTTCACCTCCCTGTGCCAGATTGTGAGCATTCCCTTTGGCTCCTATTTTCACGGCACACAAACGTCGCTTGAAGCAGCCCTGTGTTCTTTGAGGCGATCCCACCTTTCCAGCCAACAAGGGGGCAGCATCACACATGAAGTGTCCAGAACATCATGTGTCAAAGGGGGCACCTCAGTGTGATGGGTCAGAGCATCTTGCTGAAGTCAACTATTAATTTTGTGACATCTTTCTTTGAGCGGGTAAAAACATGTAAGTGTACATTACATTGGATGACACTCTTCAGCCCTATGGTAGCTTCTCCCATATAAATAAATAGTCAGCCATGTGCTATCCTTCGATTTAAAGCTTTCGTGACTGCAGGGATTCATCTTCTGGGTTCTTTCGGTAAAGTCACGTAGAATGGAGATAAAATAATAATAAAAATAATAACGTAATAAATTTTTATTATTATTATTTTATCTCCATTCTACGTGACTTTACCGAAAGAACCCAGAAGATGTGCTATCCTATTGCTGGATTAAGGCCTAGCCACACCATTGTCATTCTTCATCGTTCTGGGATGCCGTGTATTCCATCTCACTCCTGCACATGAGCTGATCTCATCGCTCCACTATTGCGGTGGTCATCCTCATTGGTTGTGTTCCCTGCTTTGCTATTTCATCGCCAGTCTCGTCTCACCTATTGGTCATTATCCCTTCTAGTGATGTGTACTATATAAGCCCACTTACTTTCCTTAAGAATCGGTATATTTTGATTTAAAGTTTGCTGTGGTTTTCACACCTGAAGATGATTGCTTGTGTTGCAGTCGAAACGTCGTGAGAATTTTATTGTTTTATATTTTTATTATTTAATTGTTTCCCTTCTACGTGGTGACTTTACCGAAAGAACCAAGACTAAGAATCGTCCCTGTTTTATGTTTGTTTCCCGATTCATGTGTTGCTATTTGTCTCTGAAGTTCTAGTAATGCGCCTCTCCATACTTCTTTGTGTATCATTCAGCAGCTGTTCCATTTTCTTTTTCAGTGCCCATGTCTTTTTATTACAACCAGTGCACTTCAGCTATTTCCCGTGGTTAATTTTCATCATGCCAATTCCTGTTCTATTAATAAGAAAAATATTTAGAGAGTGACAAGTGGCAGGAAATGAAGATGCGTTGTGAGCAGTTGGCAGACAGCAAAATGTGCATTTTGCCACTTAATCGCAGCTGGTGCCAAAGACAGAGGCTCAAAAAAAGCCAATGTGTCACGTGACGGCTGGTTCATCTCACCTGCCTGTCTCACACGCGGGCTCACGGTAGTAGCAGGAGAGGCAGTCAGGTTGGGTCATACCTGCGCTACACCCTCTGTCTTTGCACCCTTCGTTTTATTTGATTTACCTGTGTAGAGTGGTGGACTTTTGTGTAGCCTTTTGTTTACATTCAAAATACTGTGTACGTGTATACCCCGCTCAGACGATGGGTCTTGGTCTGTAGAATCAAATGCGCACCCTAAGTTGCCGTGACTTAATTTTACAACTGCATTCAGGGAAGCGGTCTGTCCCCCTAACTTTATTTATTTTCCATTTAACTCTATTCATTCGATTTCTCCCCACTTCCTTAGTTTATTTCCATGTCCTTGAAAAAAAATAGCTTACATTCAGTTACTTTTAATTGTTTTAATAATAAAAAATATTTAGGCTTGATATTTACCAAAAATTATTTTGGCTTGATCTTTACTAAAAATGTGGTTGTGGATTTGCTGAATATCCTCACGCACCCCAGCTCCATTCAGTCGCATGTGGCTTCTTCAACGATACATTATTTTTGTGACGAGTGTTATGGTGATTTATACTTTTAATCCTGCCTGGCACCACTCTTTGCAAGAGGAGCCACCGTTGTAGATGAAAGGTTTCAATAAAATGCATAAAGCTTTCTTCGGTTTGCAATACATTGCACCAAATACCGGCACGGGACCGTGTTTGCGTGTTTACACAAGGGACAGGAGTCTTTGCCAGCATACAGCTGCCAGTGGAGCATTGTTTTCACGTAGATGTGAACGGCCTTGCATCACGATCTGAATGCAAGGTATGTCAAAACAATTATGGCAAATGAAAGACCAAGCAGGAAGGTGGCAGGATAAGGTTGAGAAGAAACTAAGAGGTACATGATTAAGATATATTCTGTATGGATATGTCGAATGGAAGTGAAAGAGAAATGTTTACCGATTGCTTTAAAGCTGTTCCATGGTTATATTTTTTCAGTAAAAACTGCATCTTGAGCAACAGTAGAAATGTGAGTAAGACAATTATATTAGTTTGCAATTTGCGCTCGGCCCTGGCCCACACTTATATTTCCCCCGGGTTATCCTGCTGTTTAGGTGCTCCACATGGGGAACAGAAGCATATTTATCACTGCTGAATTATGGTCAGGCACATATAAAGGGTTAACAGCTCCTCTGCAATTCAATGCCATTACACTGACAGTGTTTAGTTAAGGTTGGGACACTGTTAGCAATGGAGTTTGCAATGGTGTGTACTTAGTGCTCACCTTATTAAATGCGTGTCTTCATTGAAGGGGTATCTCGGCATGCTAGAGCATATAGCTTTTGCCAGGTGAGGCTGTCAGCTGGAAGGTTAGTATGTCCGTGCACACTGGCTAACAAACCGGACCACTTTGCGCACGTGTCAGAAATTCCAAAGCAAGGCAGTAGCTCACGCCATGGCATGCTGCCTGGCTTGTTCCTGTATAATTACATGGTCTATCCCTAAAACAATCAGTTGTATGTTATCTCAAAAGTGGCCCCATTGTGTTCTGTACTGTGATAAGTTGACCAATTAACAGGTGGCAAATAAGTGGTTAACAGGTGGCAAATAAGTGGTAAACAGGTGTTTCTTGTGTTAATTTATGTTTTAATATAAAAAAGAAGCTAACATAAACTAGAACACCTGACATCAGGAGATTGTAAAGGTATTTTGCGAATGCCCCTTAACTTCCAGATATCTGTGATCTGCTGTTACTCAGAAGACATCGATTTGGGTTTTGGCTGGTTCGATGCAAGGCCAGCCTGGATAGAAGTGGACAAAGAAGGCACCGGTTGTTTGTTATGGTAGAAATGTATGTTAGATCATAAAGATGAGCAGCTCAAGATTATTTCAGACTGGAGTTGATGGAACAGGGTAGTACCAGAAAGCAAGCCTGCTGTGTTTTGTGCAAATATCACCAACGTAGTTTCAGCAGCAGCACAGCAGATGCTCATGTTTTAGCCAGAAATGTGGGAACAAATTATGTTTTAAATTAGTTTGTGACATAGATAAGGAGCTTTCAATTCATATATTTTCAGTTCTGTCGTAAAAAAATAGCACGCCCATAGCACCCCCCTCCCCCAGCAGTCTTGATGGCAATGGGTTTGTGACTAATTAATAAGACTAAGTACACGTGGTATTTGTTTGTTAGTAATGCAGATTATATATAAGACCACTGTGTATTTACAACGGAAATGTGAACTTGCGGTGATATTGCACAATGTTATCGTGATTGTTAAACCTACTGTGAGTCAAGGAAAAAATCAAGCAATTATTCTGCTGCTAAAATAAGTTGATACTAAATGGAGAGTGACATTCTTTGTGTGGTTTCATTCTCTGGTAATTTTAATTTTGTTTATATCAGGAAAATGTTTATACAACAATCACAAAATCATGATGTAAAAATTATACTTTTAATTTTAAAGTTAAACTTAAATAACCGCATTGGCAGTGGAAAGTGACAAGTATAAAAGACCAAACTAAATAAATAAATTAGCATTATATATATTATTGGTTCTTTCGCTAAAGTCACGTAGAAGGGAAACAATAAATAAATAAAAATATTAAACAATACAATTCTCACGACGTTTCGACTGCAACACAAGCAATCATCATCAGGTGTGAAAACCACAGCAAGAAAATTTTAAAATAAAGCTCCAATTTTCTTGCTGTGGTTTTCACACCTGATGATTGCTTGTGTTGCAGTCGAAATGTCGTGAGAATTGTATTGTTTTATATTTTTATTATTTTATTGTTTCCCTTCTACGTGACTTTACCGAAAGAACCAAGAATATTAATCCCTGCAGTCACGAAAGCTTTAAATCAAAATTAGCACTACTTTATTATTGCCGAAGGCAGAGTGCCAAATGTGATATTATGTCATTTTGTAAGTTACTCGATTTTTTTTTGGCCTATTACCATGAAGAAAGTTACAAAAAACTTAGCAGAAATGGAGTAAGGCAAAGATACATTTTCACCAAAGTTCATATTATTTATCTTGTAACAGTGATTAAAAGTCGTATTACACTCCACAGCATTCATTATTCAGATATGCTTGGCATACAAATGCAGCTTTTACGTCTTCATTTATTTTATCCAATTTATAATTGCTCGAGTGAGGCCAATGCAGGGGAGCCAGTTCACAATGAGACCTATTTGTGACTGTACCATAGATGGAAAACAGTTAACGATAGTATAGGTGGCTGCAAGCCCTCTTTTATGCCAAATATATGCAGCAAAGCGGCTCATACTCTCCGCTTGCCCTGACCGGCATACTTCAGCGTTAACGCACGGACATCACCACCCTGACTCCCCGTGTAGGTGGTGCGCGCGGCAGAGGAGACGGCCATGGCCTTGGCGACATCGATCCAGCCGGAGCAGTGCCTGCAGGTGCTGTGTCCCATCGTGCAGACGGCCACCTACCCCACGAACCTGGCGGCCATAAAGATGCTCACGCGGGTGGTGGAGCGCATTTCGCATGGGGACCTGCTTCCGCTGGTGCCCGCAGTCATCCCGGGCCTGCTGCAGGTACGACCATTGGCATCGTAGCATCGCGTCTATAGGGCCACATCTCGTGAGGCGTACATCATCGTTCAAGAATTTCAATGAGTGAACGCTTTGGCTGGAGATTGTTTGCGTGGAAGCAATGCTAAGCCGCACAGCACCATTGTCAGTATGAACTGTAGGATTTATGATCAACTTGAATTGTGATGGTTAGAAAGGTTATATTGCGCAAATGTGGAATTATTTTTTCATATCTTATAGTTTTAGAATGAAACAAGATTGGATATTATTTTGTTTTATGTTACCTTTCCACCTTAGAATGTGGGCTATAGTTTGTGCAGAAGTGCAAAATGTGGAATACCATTCCCAATTAAGTCACAGAGGTACACGGGGACTGCCTTTCCCTACCCTGTCAATGTTTCAGTATTAGAATGGTTGCGGAGGTCGAGTGTAATTGAAGTACACGGATGCTTGATAGCTGGCAAAGTCTTCGCCATTGTTTCTTCCATTAACATCGTACATTTTCCTTCAATAAATATCCTGAAGCAGAAGATTAGTGCTGGATACAACCGCATTTGCAAACGTTATTTGTGACTTCCATCCTTACACATATATATCGATAGTTCAATTTTAATGTGCAATTTTATTCAGGGACTGTGTGTTGTCTTGGTGTGGTCTGGGATTGTTTTTGCAGTTATTTTGCTGCCTTGCTCAAGCTTTGGAATTGGTGTACTTATGCAATTTGAACTTGTATACTTTATCTATTTGATGTTTTTATTTGTAGTGATTTGCTTACTTTTCATATACTTCGTACTTCTGTTTTTGTATTGTTTGGTGTAACGTTCTGACCCGCCCCTACTGGACATCTGTGAAAAGGAGCTTCATAGCTCATTGGATTTCTCCAGCATAAATAAAGATTCTGAGTCTATCTACACCACAATGCTAATTCGCTGCCCACTGATTTCCTGTGAAGTGAACTTGTCACATTGAGCTCTTACTCACGGCATGCGATCTGGATGGTGTGCGGCGGCCACGGGCATGCCGTCGTGAACACTGCATTAATCGGTGCAATTCGTTTATCGTGCTGCTCAAGAACAACTACGTACGGTCGGTTGTGACTGTTGATGGTTTTGTTAGCGATCGTGTTTCCTGCGCATCCTCGAGTAATTTGCGTGCCGGTGTGGCGTGCTTGCGTGCGCGCGTGCGTGCATCTGCATGCAGGGATACGACAACACGGAGAGCAGCGTGCGTAAGGCGAGCGTGTTCTGCCTGGTGGCCGTACACTCTGTCATTGGGGATGACCTCAAGCCGCACCTTGCACAGCTCACAGGCAGCAAGGTGCTCTCTCCAATTCCATATCGTGTGGGCACCCCGCCCCCCGTGCCCCCTAGCTCTTTTGTATTGATACGTACATCCCTTTTTATTAATGCACATACAACACGTAAAGGTAGCCAATATGAGGGACCTGGCTAAAGTGTTGGTGGAACAGAAGTTTCTGCCAGCTAAATTGCAATTGTTCGGTATTCATTTAGTGATAATGAATTGGAAGCAATTGAAGGGATCTCAGAAGTAGTTCTGTGAATTCTAGAAACTATTCTCTACCAGATAGTGGTGCACTTCTTTTGCAAGAACTCCCGATGGAATTTCTTCATCTCATAATGCAATGCCGATAACACCATTTGAAGTACGGTTGTTAAATTAGATGTTTAACATGTAAGGTAGAATCTTTCGGGGGGGGGGGGGGGGTTCGCCCTATTTGGCGAGCTGGCATCCTCTATTGCTGTGATTTTATGACTCCGTTGAACTGTTGCATTTTCTCAAAGTGCTCGCACTTCTGTCGTTATGTTCGGTGTGCGATGCAGTTCACTTTCACACGAGAGTGACTTTGCACCACAGAATGTGCTACATGTGACCAGTGGTAGAAATGGCAGCTGTGGCTGGTCCATGATGTCCCTTAGCAGCCCAGTCCATGAAGCCATGGTTGCCATCGCATTAGAAATAAGAGACTCCTCTGTGAAGTATGAAGTTATAAGTTTGGATAACAGCATTTCATTTGATGTGAAGAAACGTACACTTGAAAAACATTCATTGAATTCTCACCTGCTTACACGTTTATTTAAAACGTTAAAAATATTCCGAAACGTCACAATCATGGATATTTACTGGCCTACGCGCTCTACATCAGAGGACGTTCGCCTTGTGCAATATCATCGCTGCTTACATTGTATATCTTCTATTACGCCATTTATTTGCAATGCAAACATGAATTGTGTGGAGCTACATTGTTGGACAGTAGATGGCAGTGCATAAACATCCATTGTTGCATGGTACTAAAGCTTCCACACCTTTGGTCCCCACCTTTTCCACCCTTTCCTGACCAGTATTGTAAAAGTAGTCAAATAATTTTTTGTGCAATTCACAGAAGTGGGCAGGCCCTCATCCACCATTGGATTTACAGAAGGGCTGCACATATCCATCCATTACAAAGCTTACGAACGTGTGTTTATCTGTATTATAACTGCTTTTTAGTTTTGTTGTCCTTCCCCCGCACCTCCGATTACTATGGTTGGCTACATACGGAACGAAAGAAATTCAACATACATACATCTGGCCATGACTAAAATTAGCTTAATGTTATGATTAAGAGAAGTTGACTATCAACCAATGGTGGCAATCAATGGACTTTTTCTCACGATAGGAATGTGACATTTTCACCGTTTTGGCCATCAGTGGATATGAGTGCATCTGCAGCACCCAATCCTTGAGCGAGTGCAACCTGGGCGTGTGCACTGAGCGGCAGAATGTCAGAAGCGTGAACGCCTCATCACAATCACCCTATAACTCTTCAGTGTTTGATCGACCTGCATGCATGGTACAGAGGCACAGCTCACTCCCTGCATTGATCCGACCTGTTCTGCCTTTCAGATTAAACTGCTGAACTTGTACATCAAGCGTGCGCAGACGGGCAGTGCCAGCAGCAGCGTGGACACCCTCGGCCAGTGCTGAGCGTTGACCGGCCAGTGCGAGGCGTCTCCAGCCGCTGCCGATGATGAGCGACAGAGCCGCAGCAGTGGCGGAATGGCAAAGGCTCCGGAATGAGCTGTCCTCCTGACGAAATGGAAGAGGGGAGACCGTGTTGTCCGAACGTGTGCACTGCTGTATCAGTTTTAGTGCCCATTGCTGTGGATTGTAAAGGGGGATTAAATGAGCTGCTGCCTAAGTGCTGCCTGTTAGGATATTTGTTTTGTTCTCCAAGATATTAATGTTGAGGCCAAACCACGGAATGGTATTTTGTGCACCACATGTTTGAGTGCAATCGTGTATTTTTTAAATGCGGTATGCTTCCGAGTCAATCCCACGTCTCCAGTAGGCCGTTTTCATCAGGCTGCTGCATTTCAGTTGAGTAACTCGTTTGCTGGTGTTTTCACGCTCCATGCCACTCCACACAAGGTATATACATGTTCCACACAAGGTACATACATGTGTTCACCGTTGCTGGCCTCGTAAGGTGCGCGCTGTGACCTGCACCGTCCAACGGCGGGCTTGTCGACGGGTGTAAACACTCGCTTGGAATTGCCGCCTCATGCATGCACCACACTGATCATTTTAACACTGTTATCGACGTTTCTACGCAAACTTTTGTACGAGTTGAAGCATTGTGCTGGATATGCAAGTGGGCTATGATGCTGGGCTGCTCCTGACTCCAATTATTGCTGTACACTCGGTGTGTGTTGTTTAATAATCACCTAGGGCCCAGAAATAGCTTATTCACTGCATAATTATTCATGTTTATGGGCGACTGCAGCACAGTGTAGTAGAATAATGTTAAGGCACAATGTATATGCGGTATTAGGTAATGATATTGAACATAACCCGCCCGCCACTACAAACTTTGCTTACATAGGTAAAACATCATGAAATATTTAACGAACATTCACATCACTCTTTTTTTCACCAATGTTTCATTGCGCTTTGTTGAAAATGTAACTACTTGATGGATTTAATTCAGACATGCATCCATTTTAAACAATAAACTTTTTAACGACCATAACAGAGTCTGCAAGAGTTAAAGCTCAAACCCAATTGTCACGTGGGCCGCTCACAACAAAAACATCGATTTAAAAGTTTAAAAAGTGCATCCAATAAACACTAACTCAAACTTCAGCTTACGGCAAGAGGAGCCAGCTTGGAGATGGATCGTTGCTTGGCATGCCTTCTCTTCGGTGCTGTTTTAACCGTCTCTATATAGCGTGGCACAGTCAAAACAGGCACGGGGGTGGGGGGGGGGGGTTCCCTGAAGCCTGAGTCCCCTTGAGCCTGAGTCCCCTTAAGCCTGAGTCCCCTGCGATCAGGTGTTGGGCAACCGCATGCCACGGCTGCCTCGCAAGGAGCCGGGTCGCACGCTGGCTGGTTCCGCCCAACTACACGCGCTATTAGCCGAAAATAAAATAAAAATAGGTTTAAAAAAAAAAGTGCCGCCACGTGCGAAAGAAGGGCCGGGTGATGGTCTCGCATCAGACGTATAAATAGGAGGCAGTGGCCGGGCAGTATGATCCGCTTAGAGGCGACGGCGTCATGAGTGCAGACTTTGAGCGCTTCGACTGTAAGGGCCAGGCTCCCGCAGACGTCGGATTCAAGGATGTGTACAAGTATGGATTTTAAGTTTGTTGGGGGGTTGTTTTTTTCTTTCCAAAAAATATTTCATGGTAATTCGTTCGCGTGCGCTTTTATGGTTACTCTGCGCAACCCAGGGGTTAAAGGAATGGAGTAATTTTGCGACTTTTGTCAAAATAATGTTGTTTCACGGTGGCTGTCACCGATACGTGGAATAACACATGCCGTGTGGGCAGGTAGCCCGAGTCGCTCCGCAGGGGGCGAGAGGGGGTGGCGTCTCAGACGCACTCGGCAGTAGCCGGACACGCACCGCGACGCGTGGTAAACAGATAAGTTATTGTGCAGTAGATTGCTCAACCGCTAATTGAGTATTATACGTTATAAGCTAACGACGAGACGCGGCCAAAGTGTAACTCTATGGTCTATATAGAGGCCAGGATTTTCAGTATAAATGAAAGAGCCTAAATCACTGTAAAGTAATTTCATCCGAGTGCGTGCGTGAGAAGATTGTGTTCGTACAACTGTCGAATGAGAAGCAGCGCGTTAATTACACACAATCCGAATCCGGGCTGGTAATGGTAAGTGTTGTTTTGTAAGAGCTGGGACGCGGTTGACTTAAGATGTTGCCTACGGGTTACGTTGAGGGCCCCGAGGTTGGGGGAGACGGGATTCCCCCGCACGTGAACCTTACCCGTGCATGCGGCGGGTTCAGTACGTTTTAATTTAGTTATTTTATCTGTGTATTTAATGCCTTTATTTAGCACCTTTATTAAACTGTACAGAACAACAACAAAACAACGCTCTCGTTTTTTTTACACGCGAAATCTCGGCTTAAGTGTGTGTTACTAATTCTGTGCACGATCTCTTTAATGATTATATGCGCTTGCGTAAAAGTATCGCGTCGTGATATTTCTGCAGTTTATCGTCTTTATTTTGCCGTTCAGTCGATTGAACGAACACTGCTATTTGTCTGCTTGAACGAACATTGTTCACGTCGCAGTAATACTTAAACAATTACTTTATCGCACTGTGGTTTTTTTTGTGCGACGGTAGCACTTGACCTCCGGATTGTTGCCATAAACTAGTTACGCGCACGTAGTTGATGCGCGTGTCTTTCTATACGAATGTTTTCTCACAGCATAGCCGTCGTGTGATGACTTATGTTTAAATAACAGTTCACAAATTTTGTACGGATAGTTGCGATTGCATGATCGTCGGGGGGAAGAAGGCATGCTGGCCGTTTGACAGCCGCGAATTTTGGCCAGCGCATGTGGACAATTTCTGCAGTCCGTTTAAAGATGACAGACTCGCTTCTGCTCACTGATATTCACTGATATAGTCGGCCCTCGTGGACATCTGAGAAAAAAAGAGCTTCATAGCTCATTGGAATTCTCCAGGATAAATAAAAGAGTCTGATTCGTGACATAACAGGACTGTAAAATGCGTGCCGTTGTTTCCTGTCTGGATACTTCTGCGAAATGCGCGCACGTCTCATCACTAACACCTCACAAAACAAGTGTGAACTACATAATTAAATGACGTACAGACGTGCAGAATGGTGGGCCGACACGCCATGTACTCTACCTTAATTTGCGATAGAACACGTTTTGTTTACACAGGTGTAGTACTTCGTGTGACCATACTCGTTGCATCCATACAACTCACCTGGGGTCGATTTGGTGTAGAATTGAGCGGCTTGATGGGAATTCAGAGCAGTTGTGGTGTAACATTAAGCACCGGCAGGTTGAACATCGATTCACATATTTGTAAAACGACTGAAACACTTCGCCTGTCCGTTTTATCCCATTGTCAGCCATGGAGACATCGGCGCTTCTCCAAAAATCGATCGTCATGGAATATTCGCCAACAAAACAAATCAATCGGGCTCTCCCTATTGCGCGATCCGCTTCTTGCACATCTTTCAAGGACGCCCACGTGGTAGTACAATCTTAATTTTATCAATTACACAGCACGTGGTTTGCTTTTACGCGGACCACAATGCCAATGGGTTGTCACCGCAAAAAAAATATATCTGGGATCTACTCACGGTTTGGTTTTAAGTACGGACCCTTTCTCTTAGCGCGTCGGATTTCTCAGATCATCATAGCTCATCGGATTTCTCCAGGATAAATCAAGATTCTGATTCGAAAGATTCCATTTTTATTATTATTTACACGCTTTTATTTAAGTCACTCCATTGTATCCTCAACTGTGTTATCCTCAAATCTTGTAACTAAATTTTAACCCACTTTCCAATGTCGTATCGACTGCAAACTTAGTATACGTTTGTCATACTGATGACAATACTATATTATATCATTAAAAATAAATATATATTTTTTTCAATCTTTTTTTATGTTATATTTCGCCTTGGGTCTAATTGTCCACGCTCAACTCACGTTGGCTGTAAATCACCACGGGCCCCCTTACGTTGTGGCAAGCCTCGGGGCCATTTCCTGTAGTCGTAGAGTTCTGACGTTACTCGTACGGTACATTTGATTAAAGCGTGTTTTTAAAAAAAGTATTTTAAATATTATTTTTACACGCTTTTAACTCTGTTGTCGTCCTCGTTGCATCCTCAAACCTTGTAACTAAATTTTAACCCACTTCTCAATGTGGTATCGACTGCAAACTTTGTATACTTATGTCATACCGATGACAATACTATATTCTATCATAAAAAATATACATTTTTTACATTCTTTTTTAATAAGTTATCTTTCGGCTTGGGTCTAATTGTCCACGGTCCCTTACGTTATGGCAAGCTTCGGGGCCACTGCCTGGAGTCGTAGAGTTCTGCCATTACTAGTGCATTTCATGAAAGCGTGTTTAAAAAAAAAGTTATTTTTAAAATATTATTTAAGGCTCAGCTTTTATTCGCGGAGCCGCGGTAGCTCAGCGCTGCACGGTCGCGGCGTGGCCCCGTTCGACCCCCCCTCCACCCCCACCCCCCACGTGACGCGGGCTACGTCACTGCGCAGCGTGAACTCCCAAGGGAAATCAGAAGAGGCGAGGTGGGACCTGGACCCTGACAGAGGCGAGCTGCAGTCGCGTACATCCCCACGTGGCCAACACGTGTCCTAAAACCCTGCCGCGTGCTCTCTCTCTCTGCTACCTGCACCTCCCTCTCTCTCGCCTCCTCCTCTTCCAGCGACTGTCCGTCCGAACGTTCCCTGCAAGCGAAGATGCTGTTTTGGCACGCCCAGCCGGAGCATTACCACCCTCACCACCACGCGTACCCGCCTGCACCCAACAGCTACCTGCGGTAAGCGCGCGCGTTCGTCGTTTGTATATGCTCTGACAATGTCACTTGCTGTGCGTGAAGGAGATGCCTATTGTGCTGTGAGGAAGGGTCATTGCCAGAAACGCCAGTTTGTGTGTGTTTAATATATACGTATTAAGTCCGTGTTAATGGTGAATGTGTTAATGGTTGTGTGTGTGGTTTTTTTTATATTGGAGAGGCAGTGCGCGCGAGACTGCGTGTGCACCAGTTGTCTGCACACGTGCGGTTGTGTGCACTGTGTCGAACGTGTGGTGCGCGCAGTCTGTCTGCTACCCCAGGGCTGTGGCAACTATAATATCGCCCACCTGCCCTATGTAGAGTCGATGCAGCAGCCCTTAGCTAGCGTACCGTCAATAGTTGATACAGCGCGACCACGTGAAGTAGAATGTAGAACGTCACGTCGATCTTCTCCGGTAGCCCGTCGTTTGCGTGAACTTCAGTTTTCCGCCTCCGGGGTGAATGCCACCTCTGCCCCCCATGCATCACAATTTCTATGAACTCACGACGTTCCTGTAAGTTAGGTGGCAGCCCAAGCAGTGTATTACATGAACGTGCGCGCGTGATTGCGTGTGGTGACAGTTTTGCCCGCTCTTAATCCCAATCAAGCCATAGCGAGCGGTCCCGCAGCACGTGGTCCCGCAGCACGTGCTGCTGCTGCTGTTGTATTAAAAAAAACCTGCCCACGTGTCCCGAAATCGCCCCCCGACTGCCCCGTCCACTTGAGTGGCGACATCAACAGCCATGCGCACGACATCGACAAATGCATCGCCGTATTGGTGCTCAACGCCGATCACTGCAAGGGGGGGGGGGGGGGGGGGGGGGGGCTCTCGCTATTTTTTTTTATTGTCCAACGCGATGTTTCCTGAAGGAGGCCAGATGACCCGAAAAAGTCAAATGTTTTGATAATGATTTCAGATGACGATCTCCGTCGGCATTGGTTTTGTTTTGCCTCCTTAGAACAGGTATAGGTTGCTGAAAGTCTTCGCGAGAGTTTGTGACCCATCTGTAGGGACATATCATAGCCGTATTACTACTTTACGTGTGGGGGAAAGGTAGAACAAGGTAGAACCCTTCTTGAAACGAGACTCTGTAACATGAACAGTAACTTATACCGTACCACCCATGGACCAACTTGGTGAAGTATGGTTAAATAACGTCCAACTACCCGCGAACGGCATGGATTGACAACAGATATGTCTGTGCATGTACGTACCACCAATAGGCTGGCGTGAATTAATAGCTTATCTTATTATTTTTATAGCGCACCTTCACTCAAGGTGCTTGGCATAGTTAAACACTAAATGGTGACAAAATACAGGGTTTAATATTCTTGGTTATTTCGGTAAAGTCACGTAGAAGGGAAACAATAAAATAATAAAAATATAAAATAATACAATTCTCACGACGTTTCGAATTTACCGAAAGAACCAAGAATATGAATCGCTGCAGTCACGAAAGCTTTAAATAAAAAAAATACAGGGTGTTTGAAATAGATGGACCCGGTTTGAAATCGCTATATCTCTGCAACCACGAACCGCCCATGAATGAAACTCTTACCACATGAAAGGGCGGGGCGTAGAGTTTCAATTGATTACCGCGAGATGCCTCTCCCAGCGCACAAACAGCCCCTAGCCTCAGTCATTGGCAAGACGGTGACCCCACAACACAAGGGGCGTTTTGCGTTCTGCAGTTCAGCAAGACTGAATCCGTAATTGCGGTGCAGCGTGCGTTTCAACGGCGTTTTGGCACTGATCCGCCAATGTCAAAGAGCATTCGTCGTTGGTACTGAAAGTTTGAAGAAACAGGCTGCTGTTTATGTAAGGGGAAGAGCACAGGGCGACTACGAAGAAGACACTTTTAGAGACGTTTGTGACGAATTCAACTGTCTTCTCGATGTTGTCCGTACAGCAGGTGGAGGGCACGTAGAGCATTTATAAAATGGTTAGTAAAACCGTTTGTAACTTTTTGTGTAATTGTAACATGTTGCCATCGTGAAATATATTGCTTTGAAATTGGCTCCATCTTTTTCAAACACCTTGTAGAATGATTTAGTGTTCTTGCATGGCGCGCATGCTTTCACTCTGGGTACCGTAGCTTTCATCCAGGGGCTAAAACAACAATGCCTCAGGGAATTGGGTTCCAACACGTCAAACGGGACTCGTCTCAAATGGGACCCATCTCAAAACTATTCATTACACCTGGTGGTGGATGAGGCTTATATTTTGAATGATCGTTTTCAAGCTCGCACCCATATGCAGGGGGGGGCTGTCTCGTATTGTATATTGGTTAGATATTATAGTATGCATGTGTACTGAGTATAACGAATTCAAAATAGAGTATATCAGTGTGTACACAAGACATTCAAAGTGCACTTTTAAATCTATACGAACACCTACCCCCAACTCGTTCTGCCTGCCATTATTTTCCAATAAGCCCTCCTCACCAACGAAGAACGAATTCCAGCAATGCGTTACTCTTGATTAGAGGATGAAACAGACGTGTTTTAGATGTACAGTGGACACATCCCCCCCCCCGCCCCCCCCCCATATAAAAATATGCTCAAAATGTCCCCCCCAATATATTGCTATAAAATAGATTTATGTTTATATGATTGTGGTTATGGTTGTACTTTATTAATCCCTAATCTCTGCCATTACATACAATGAAACAAGAAAATGTAAAAAGAAAAAAAACGGAGCAATGTAATAAATACAATACACTATTAGACTTTATTGTAAAAAAACAAAAGTCCATCCTATGTGTTAGTAAATTTTTAAAATATTTGTGGCAGGAAATTAGTTTTCAAATTTTTAAAAAAAATTCTGGGTGGAAGACCCCCAGACCCCTGGAAGATTTGACTCCCCCCAATGTTGACTCCATGGCTATGACCTTGGGTTAAACTGTGGGTACTCACCTCTTCCAAGATATCCTTAGCCAGCTGGGAGGAGCCAGAACTTGTTTCTTTGTCTAAAGAGGACTTACTGCAACCTTGCACCCCTTTGGTTCTCAACAGTTAAAAATGTATGTTAATAAATGCATAGGTTTCATGAAACGACGTAGTTGTACTCACGTGCCCGTGCTTAATTTGTGTTTCGATTATTTACCTTCTAAAACAATCTGGCCACGTCTCGCGCCCCCCCCCCCCCCCCCC